TGGTGTACGCACATTTTTTGTGCGTGTCTGTTTTATTTCCATTGGCGACTCCTAGAGGCAGTTGTGTTAAATTCCTCTCTACAAAGTGTCTGAGCCTTGCAATGGCAGCTGTATGAGACGGGTTACTCTAGCAGGTATGTAAGGTTTCCATACCATACAGTTGACCAGCTAAACATTAAAGCACAATTTGCAGCAGTCGCCTGTTTTCCCAATGTAATCTGCGCTATCTACTGCACGCACATTGCTATAAAGACACTATCTGAAGATGAATTTGAATGCGTGAATCAGAAACATTTCCATTCAATAAATGTGCAAATAAAATATGATGTACAAACTTATTAATGAATCCTACTTGTCTTTCTCGTGATAAATAGTTAGCAAAATCTAATATGTAGCGGGGAAAAAAGAAGAAAGAGTTTATCAGACGCTGGATTCGAACCAAGTTCATGCTCGAACGTGTCAAAACATGCAGACATGCGTCTTACAAGCGCGCCACTGAGACTGTTCAGATTACTGCAACAGTTTACACCTAAGAATCACAATATTTCTTTTATAATGCACTCAGTGCGATGTTCAGACCCAACTGTGTTAACCGCATCAGCTAAACTCTCCCACTCTATTTTTTTTTCTTTTGTTGTTAATTCCGGAGAACAAACTTGCAAATAACACCGCTTTTCTCCGGTCTACCTCCGAAAGGAGCACCTCCAATTCACATCCTGTTCAAAGTTTCTATTTTTGCCTGCTTTTGCGGTTGCTTTTTCGTTGGGTTTTTCCAAAGTAGAGTCATTTGCATATTCATACGGGGGAGGAGGCAGGGAGGGGTTTTGTGCTCGTGCATGTTGCGCTCAGTTTCACGTTCATTCAGATGTACAAAAGAATATGCGTGAGACTCGGCGTACGCAGTGTTTCATACATCTGAATTTTTTTCTGCGTACGCACATTTACAGCTTTGTGCGTACGCAATGTTTTAGTAAGATTTCCACGCAAGTCTTCGTACATGAGGCCCCAGGTCTTGAAAAAAAACACAACTTCTCCAGTTTGGCAGTATTTCAGGTTTCGACCAAACGAGAAGGGTAATACGGATGAGTCAATTTGCAAATTGAGCAACAAAAAGGTGACCGCGAAAGATGTAAATAGCTCAAACCTAAGGTCATGTTTGGTATTCAGTTTCTAAACGGTTTAGGCACAAGCCTACAGTTTGGTGATGCTGTCTAAGCCTCACATCGTAATTGTTTTATTATGTACGGTAATACCTTATACCAAGGTAAAATAGGAAGGAGGTTTGACGGTAACAAAATTTGAATGCCCCACAAGCATACCTACAGGTAAGGCCTTGTTCACCCTACATGACTTTAAATATCAGCAGATCACTGTGCTGTTCAGACTTTGATTCACAGATTGAGGTCCTTTGCCATTCTTTACCATCTCTCTGCTCCAAATGTTTTCTTTTCTCCCTCTCCACTGTCCTGTACAATATTGGTGAAAAATCCTAAAAGATATTAATTTAAAAAATGTTCGGGGTGCAGTAGATGATAACATCACTGACACAGCATTTGAAATCCCCCTGAAAGTGTTTAATGCACTGTTTGAAAGCATCGTCTATCAACTCATCTGTCAGTGGATCGATTGCTCACATCTGCATGTTCAGCTGACAGTGGCTTTCCACTTTTTTATTTTTTTTTTCGTGACCATTTTGGCCAATCACAAACATGTCTGTTAAGCATGTGAACACAGCGGCCAATCAACCTTTCACTTGCTCTCTCATTGGCCGTAGCTCATCACTACATATAACCCCACATCATACCTGCCAACACTCCTATTTTTCCCAGGAGTCTCCCGTATTTGAGACCCATCTTCCGCCACCCTCTTGTTTTGTTATTTCTGCTAGAAAACTCCCATAAATCCCGGTCCTCAGCATTTTGGTACAGTCTGTGAAACCCCAGGGTCGCCAACATTGATATAGGATCCAATCGCAGTGGCCACCCAAAACATGCTTCATTGTACAGTTACTAACACCACAGTACCCAGTTCTCAACAGTGTAATTCAGACACCTCATCCCTGAACCTAATCTCCCTGGTCTCCTGGATTTCAAGGGACAAATGCTGACATGGGGTCAAGTCTAGAACATTTAACATGCTAGATAATGGGTTTTCGTCTGCAAAGTGTCGGTGAGCGATTTTCACACAATCACAGCATGATCTGTCTGCGAGCTCGTTAACTTGATAATTGGGCTCAAACTGCAAATATGGTATGGTGAACTACATAAGTGTGTTGTAGCAGGGTTTGGAACTAAACTCTGCAGGGCTGTGGTTTGCCAGCCCTGCTCGAAGTAATTAAACTGATATATTTTTTACTTGAAACCACACATTAGTGGCCAGTACTGATTTAAAGAGATAGTTCAGCAAAAAAAAAAAAAAACGGTCATCCTTCACTCACCCTCAGAATACAGAAGTTTTGATTGTATCAGTGTGGATATGCTTGAACAAGTTCTGCAGTTCAGCGCTTAGTTAAAACAATTCATGCTTATATTATAAAACATTTATAACTATATTTTTAAGTCTCTTTGAATTAAAGCATCTGATGAATGAATGAATGTCAATTTAATTTTACATTTTGCTTTGATGAAAGCCACTTTGCAGTATTAACATAAGAAAAAAGTCAGGTTCACTTCTGTTGGAATAACATATTCAATGCCCTACTGTAAATCAGCTCCTAAGTGTTTATCTTTTTACTCATGGATGTCTGCTTTGGTCTCAACAGACTGAACAGATAAAAATGAACAAGAAAAGTAGCTATTAAAGAGTGCAGAGATTCAGAGCCACACATACAGTATTGTACATATTACATAAGCTAATTTTCCACTATCTTGCCAAACTGTTCTAAAAAATCCCAAATTCCACTTATATTCCACCTGAGCCTGGAACAGAATTCTAGACACAAAGTAAATTTCATTAAAAATATCTTATCGTTTAACATATTGCTGTTTAAACTATTGTTTTAAAAGATTCAAAGTAAATCGGCACACTGCCACTTTAGCTCTCAAAAAAAATTTTATGTTAATATTACAAAATCACAACGTTTCGACCGACATGGTCTTCATCAGGTGATCATCAACTGATGAAGACCATGTCGGTCGAAACGTTGTGATTTTGTAATATTGACATAAAATTTTTTTGAGAGCTAAAGTGGCAGTGTGCCGATTTACTTTGAATCTTTTGCTACTTATGTTTGTTTTTTGATTGTGCACCTGTCTTCAAGATTTTCTAGATGTGCGCACATTTCTGTTTTTTGCTAAACTATTGTTTTAACCATTTGCATTACTAAGTCAACAAAGGTTTTTTTTTTAAAGTTCCATTATAAACTCCAAAAATAAAACCCTAGCCAGAATGAGCAGTTAAGCAAACAAACAGAACCATCCAGCCCAAAAAGTGGCTATACTGTACTTGCCATGAACCACCTGCCATTGGCACAGTTGTTTCAAACTCCAGAAACTGTTTCAGTCAGAGTTAGATTGAATTGATGCACACCAATCTGTTTTCCAGTTTCCTATTATGTTAAGTGTGTGAATTAAGTATTAAACTTTTCACCATTTTTCTCAGAAAACATATCTTTAAAAGTGCTGTTGACTAGGTTGATTTTGGTAACAAGTAATCAGGTAAGTTGACTGGAATTTGGGTAACAAGTAACAACCAAAGAAATCCATACATGTAAAGAAAACAAAGCTATTTAGTTTACAAAATATGAGTGATAAAATGAACAAAGGGAAAAGGTTTTGAACAAAGAATCAAATCTAATAGTAGCTGGCGCTGCTTCAGTCCATTTGTTCAGTGCGTTATTAGGATGATGAAGAAGAAACCAGGGTGGACATTTCAGCAAGACAATGATCCAAGCACAGCCAAGGAAACTCTCAAATGGTTTCAGAAAAAGAAAATCAAGCTGTAGAATAGTAGTACTTTCACCTCGCGTCATTCCATTGTTACTACACATAACTAATTGTTCTGTTTTATTTTATTTATTTTTTATGTTTGTATTGTTTGGATTTTTACCAAATTCTGGTTCAATACCATGTCAACAGCTCCTTTAGAAATAATATTATTATCTGAAGCTGTATATCTGAAGCTAGTTATAGAAGCTAATAAGCATCAGCAAGCATACAGTGAGACTTAGTTCCTGTTTAATAATTATTATTAATTACTAGCTCAATTTACAATATCATAACTGAAACTAGAAATTAAAAAAGATCCAATTTTGATTACTTACTAGTACAAGGTATCTGTGAAAATATTTTGCAGAAAGCAAAACAAAGTAAACAGGAAATCTTATGGGTCAAAAACATGCAGGCCTATATATCTATTCAACAGCATACGTTTCTCACTTGTAAATACGACTTCCTTAGTCTTTCGTGTGATCATAATTATGACACTTTCACGAAAGCTTGTTTCAGAACATTAAAAAAACCTTAAAACAGGTTATTCCTTATATAAATATTCATATTCTGAGATAGGAAGTCCTAATTTTATGTCACAAATTCAAATGTTTGAGATATACACTCACAATTGTCTTGTTTTGCCTCAGATTTGCCTACAATTTAAGAATTCGTATCACTCAAATATTGGGAGGAGGGGCAGATCTGTGAGATAAACCGTAAGTAACATTTTATTCAGGAAACAGGCATGCACCTATTTCCGACTCCACTTAAAGGAACATACATGTTGAATGGGCTTGCCACAGTGCTGGTGTCGGTGGGCTGTGAGTCGAGCACACGCACCCGCGCAAGAACGCGCACTTCAAAACACGGGTTCAAAGCAGGTGCCAGCAGCAACAATGCAACAATGTAGCAACGTCACAACGAACACCAAACGTTCCGAACGCGTTCCAGGTTTGACAGCGTCTATAAAGCATGTGACTGCCAAACTGCTGAGTCGATCATGGGTGTGATCGGGTTGTTCAATACTAACACACATTACAATACGAGCAAAATATAATTCTCCCTACTTACCCGAAATCCTGATCCATAGACTTGAAAAAGAATTTATAACTGTTGACCGGTCGGTTGTTGAGGACATTTTTAAAATCCGCCAACGTGACTTTTTCCGGAGAAACCGACAGCTTCACTAAATAAGGGGTTTCTTCTTCGTCGATATGGTATATAATTTTGGTCTCCGCCATGAGTAGGCTTATATGGGTAGGACAATCATTGACAGAAGAAGGAGCAAGGGTTGCAGCAGCGAGATACAAATAAATATATATGTAGACTACAAGTCGTCAAGTGTCATGTACGCGCTATAACGCGACATTGCTGGTTGCCGGTCTACGTAGGCAAACAAAAATCCCGGTGTCGGACGGCGCGAGTGGTTCCAGACATAATCGAAGCTTGCGCGTCTCTATCGCGGCGTCAATGTTTCTCTCTGATCGCCAGTAAAACAGGAAGGGACGGTTCACATCCCTACGACGAGCTGGAGTTCAGGAGAATTTACCGTTCCTGCTTTCTCGTAGAGGTAGACCTCCCTCTAGCGGCAGTCTGACTCCCAGACAGTCACTCGACTGAACCCATGTGGCTCAGACAACAGCTGTTAAAACACTGGAATTCATGAGTTCTTGCGTAAACACAAGACAAACGTTGGCAAAAAATTTATGTTTTTTTTCATTACAGATGCTGAACTTAAAGAAAGTTGAAGAAAATGTTCATCTGTTTCATGGTAAACTTGATTTAAATTAAGAAAAAAACACACTAAAATCAATTTTTAAAAAATCTGTCTGTCTATCTATTCACAAAGACTGTCTGTCTGTCCATCTATCTATTCACAAAAGACTGTCTGTCTGTCAATCTATCCATCTATCTATCTATCCATCTATATATCCATCTATCTGTCTGTCTGTCTGTCTATCTATCTATTTTTCTGTCTATTTTTGTCTATCATCTCTTTATCTATCTATCCGTCCCTACCAAAAGACTGTCTGTCTCTCTGTCTGTCTGTCTGTCACCTGTTAATAAATCTGTCACTTGTTCCATCTGTTGTATAAATCTGTCTCATCCTACCTTCCATCCATCCATTTTTGTGTTGTTGTTCTGTTTATTAATCTGACTGTCTCTCTGTCTGTCTCTGTCTTATGGTCTGGAAAGGAAAATGAAAGGACATTTGAAGTTTGAAAGAAAAAAAGAATATGTCACCATAGAGATATAAATAGTCAGAAAGACAAAAACAGTTGTATAGTTTGTATTGCTTTCAAGTTCTTATTAGGCTGTGGTTTCCAAACATGTTAAAATAATTTTTTTTCAATTGTGCAAACGTAGGTATTTTTACATTCCATTTGCCTTCATTTATTAAGGACTTGTGATGGACATAGCAATTCATAATTAAGTTGTAGTATAGTAAATGATTGCACACACAACAGTAAAGTTTTAAAGCAGCAATCGTAAATAGGAAAGCTTCATTAAATATTGAAAAACATATTCAATGTTGCAACCAAAATATTTCAGTTATATTTTATGCATATTGCTACAAACTCTACATTTAAAAAGGAACATAATAGAATTAAAATAAAAGTGACAATTAAATAAAACAGAGAGAAAATAAAGAACAATAAAACAACACAAAAGTACAATGTTCTTAAGTTGTTGTGCAAGCATGAATTTTTTGGGTAATTACATATCTTAACAGCAGAGGGCAGCTCGGTACTTTCACTTCATTAGTTATTAGGTGCTAAAGGAAAAAAAAAAAAACCCTTAAAGTAATCCAGACTCGAGTCAGGGTCAATTAAAAATAAAGCATTTCCTTACACACTTACTGTACTTGAGTATGCTGAAAGAGGTCCCAGATGTCATGAATTCAAACAAACACGTTTATGCCAAGAACACTCTTCCTTTTTGCACTTTGTACACTTAAAACAGCTATTCGTCTCCAAAAGACCACTTCCCAACATTTACATAGTACATATTTGTAAGCTAGATAACCTTTTGTGCTTAATAACCACTATCCTAATGAATTATTTATTAAGCGCTTTAGTGTTTTCTGCAATGGGTACACACAAGAATTTCAATGTACATATGTAAATACTGGATTTTATGATTACATTGTGTAAATATAAACTCTATACTGTACATATAATAATACTAATCCACTAATGTTATTATATAGTTAATTATAACAGTTAAATAACAATAAATAAGCATAAGTAATATTTTTGTTTTATTTAATAATAGATTATAAATCACTGCAAAACCTTAGAAAAGTCCAGCTAGCTTTACATTATTTAATTTTGCATGCAGACAGAGGAAAAAATAGACAAATGTAGATAATGGAGCATCAATGTCTAATGTTTGAATGGAATTAATCTTAATGACACAAAATATTTCAGAATAAACTTTATTGTATTGGTCCTCTATACCAGCATGATGATCCACAGGCACTTTAAAGATAAATGTACATTCAAAAATCAAATAAAACTACTGCACAAATGCTTCATAAGCTGTGGAAATAAACAATACTGACCAAGGAAAAAGCTGATCAACAATAATGAAGATGGGGAAAGGATAATAGAACTTGCTTGTATTGGAAAAGCAAAATGTGCCATAACATTCATCTACATACTGTAACGTTAAAAAAAACTATATATATAAAAAAACAATGGACCAAAGAAGTCCTGGTCAATAAGACTCAAAATTTAGAAGAAACATAATAACAGATGCATGCACATATCAGTATCTTGTTTCTGGCACAGAATAAGATTAAATAATACAATTTCAGCTTTTTATCACTTAATTAGAGAACTTTTTTCATAATTGTGAGATAAAAAACTGAATTGTACGGACAAAAAGTCAGATTTGAATTATGAAGGTCACAAATGTGAGATTAAAAAGTCACATTTTATTTTTGTCATACAACAGAATGGCATAAATAGTACATTTGTTTGCCTTTGAGGTTCAATTGTGTACCATCTTTGACTATTTAGACCTGAAGCCACAGCTATATGTTTGCTTCCTGAGTTTTACGAGGAAATTTCCATTCAGAATCAGACACTTACAGTGGTTTCTACCACAGAGAATTTTAGAGTACCACCAAAATGCTGAACTTAGCAAACCACCTAACCACATTTGGCATATGTTATAACTTTAATTAAAAAATTACACTTATGGTACGCTGCGGTTATGATAAGAAATCTAATTCACTTTCATTTGATTTATCTAAATCGACAGAATGTGAGTATTATAAGTTCATGAAAGCAGTTATTATGATGAAAAGAAGACAGTAATTCCACTCCTGTTCTCAATGCAAAGTCTGTTCTCGCTCAGCTCGCTCTGGACCAGCCAGCAGCCCAGTATCACTCATTTCCATGACATTCTCTCCATTTCTTTATGTGGGAAAAGGTTAAAAAAGAAGGAAAGAGAGTATAAATAGATTATACTCCATCTGATCTAGTTGTCAAGTATGAGGCTTATTAAAATCACATTACTGTACCTCTGTTGAAATCAATAACTTTTGGAGAAGGATAGTTGTTTGACTCTGCCCTTTCTTTCATTATGTTGTTCTTGTAGTCTAAAGAAAAAGAGAAAGCTCAGTTATTTTAGTCAACTACAAAAACCCAAATAACAAACATTTTTTACTACATTTTAAAAATAATATGCATATATATTAAATCTAGTTTTAAAATATTTTTTAATGATCGGCCAAGTGTCTTCTTTAAAAAGAGACTAAACTGAAGGCTGTGCTTGAAAACATTCAATTTACAACAGTTTAAGATGAAAACAATTTTTCCAGGTAGAGGCTTAAATAGTGGTTAACTAGACATAATGGATTATATTAAAAACAATGAAATACTATACATTTTCATAAATAAAGCTATAAAAGCTGCCATTAGTATACTTTAAAAGGTTCACTAATTCGCAACCCAGGCTCATTACCGATATACCCCTGTATACATCTTAGGAGGTATATTTTATTGCAGTTTTTGTTTTCATGAATCCAGCAGAGGGTGCTGTGTATGCTTTTTCAAGTCTTAAATTTCTCTCATGATAGCCATTTGTGCCTGCTGTTCTCATGTAAATCTACCAGAGGTCCCCGTCAACTGATTGACTGAATGACTGACTGACCAACCAACCGATACCCCCACCCACCCCCTATCCTAAACCCAACTGACAATATTTTCAAAAGCAATCCGGAAAAAGAAAAACCCTCGCTGCCACTTTTTTTAACCACATTTTCAGATCACATTCTCGCCCTGTTATTTACCTGTTTATTTTATTTTACTCGCCTTTTGTTTTAGTTTTACCGGCTTTCTGGAACCGTTCGTCGCCAGACTCAAATTCTGTCATCACGGTTAACTCTTCGATGCATCTCCAGTCTGACATTGGACAAACTGGTAACAGCAGAAAAGTCATTTACACGGAGGTAAGCGGTCAAATGGTAGCGCAAAAAAAGCAGAAGCCATCTGCGGCATCATACTACCCCATAGCATTCGTTTTAAGGATGAAATGCAGCCATACATACCTCTGGCTACATAATTTGCGCTATACAGAAATCTATACAGGGGTACAATTTCACAATGAGCCTGTGTTGCTTTTTGTACACCTTCTGAACACTGCTAATGCTTTAGCAACATTTTGATACCTAAATTATATGTACAATATTTTTAAGTAATAAAAAAACATAATATTAAATTTCATTCATTCATTCATTCATTTTCTTGTCGGCTTTAGTCCCTTTATTAATCCGGGGTTGCCACAGCAGAATGCACCGCCAACTTTTCCAGCGCGTTTTTACGCAGCGGATGCCCTTACAGCCGCAACCCATCTCTGGGAAATAATATAAAATGTATGTAATGTAATTGAATTTTTATCACACTCTTTAAAAAGTGACTACTTAAAAAAGTGAGTAAACCTGTTGCCTTGAAACGATTAATTAAATGAATCATGAGCATATTGCAAAAAAAGTCAACTTAACAGTTTTAAGTTACAACAGGTTTACTCACTTTTTGAAGTAAAATAACTAATTGCTTTTTACAGCGCACAAGCAGGACCAGAGAGTAAAAAAAGATCCCATGTTAAAAGAGGGATGAAAAAAACTAAACTATTATTTAAAAACATGGTTTATTGAAATACCTGATCACATTTCCCTCAACTTTTACAGAGCATAGTTTAAAAAAAAAAATCATGGAAAATTGTGGTTGCTCTTACTCAGTCGCATATCTTCCTGATTGTAGGGTTGCAGTTCTGTGACATCGAGTTCAATGGACGTCATTCGACCACTGCCAAATAAAACAAAAGACTTGCTTTTTTTCCTCAAAGACATTGAATCAGATATTGTAAAACTGAACTGAGAAAACTGTGCAACTTTAAAAACGTCAGAGTAGCAAATTCATTAGACAAAAGCCTTGTAAACATATATTTAAAGTACTGCTTCTGCTATTATTTCATGTGTTAAACATACAGATCACAATCTTTCTCGAAAATACAGTCTTGTACATTTCTGCTGCTTATACATTATTGTAGACATTTTGCTGAATAAAGTGCCATCAAACTTTAACCATTCATATATTTGAGATATTAAAAAAAGCATGTCAGGGTATAATACAATTTCACATTAATAGTTATAGAGGGTTAATAGTCTGTTTTTGTTCCTTACCACTCATTCCTTCCAACATCAAGCTCATACCCTGAAACAGAGGTTATATAAAAGGTCAAAAGAAAGTTTGAAAGATTCAAGCATATAATCTCACAGGTATCAATTAAATTCAAAAGTTCAGTTGGCTAGCATGCAGTTTTACTAAAATGACACTGATTTCTTTTTCCTGTTTATCTAATCCAAACGTAGGTTGTGTCCACACCTGTAGTTTTGGTTTTCTTAGTTTGTTTAGCCCAGACAAAAACAGAATTCGATACATCAAATCCTGGTTCACTTAGTGTTCACACCAAACATTAAGACTTAAAGAAACAGTTTTTCTATAATTTCCTTACCAACAAGTTATTCTCAGTATGACTTTTTCTCCATATAAATACATTCAGAGCATCTGGCTTGTCCAGTGTAAGGTTTTTTATTAAAAACATTAAATGGCTTTTATTTTGAAGGTTACAAAATTTACCAAAAATGACATTTCCTCTTTGTTCAAACAACTTATTTAAAATGAGCTGAAATAACATGACTTTTGAGGTTTTATAGTGACAGCTTAATTGTTTTATGTTCAATTCACTTAAGTTTGTAAAAATTAATAATTTAGCTAATTTCCTTCATGTTGTCCCAACACAATTTGATTAACTTGCTTTTTTATTTTTATTTTTACAAATTTAAGTGGACTGAACACTGAACCAAACTCAAGAATTGTGTTGATTCAGCTCGTTTTATATAGTGGTAGTAGTTTGAAAAAGCATCATATTTTTATGATATGTCTTATCAAGGAGATCAATGTGCGTTTGTAACAAAAATATTTAAAAATTTTAATTATAAACTCAAATCACTGACTTCCACCAGCTGCTAAATGCGCGTTGGTAAATGAGTCAGAAAACTTGTAGAAAAAAAAGCAGTCAAAAACACATTGATCCACTTCATTAGACATGCACTAACCCCCATGCAGCACATGGGTTATTTTTAGGACAGATTTTTATGCTTTTAGAAGTCAACACCTTTATACAACATGCAAAAGCCAGGATCAAATGTAAAACTACTCTGATTGTGTTTGTCTGAAAGGAGAAAGTCCAATACACTAAGAATAGCTTGAAGGTTAGTAAATTATTGGTTCATTCTCATTCCTTAAAAGATCTGCAGCATCACCTAAAAGAAATAGTTCATAAAAGAAAAAAACAAAGAGCATTTTTTTAGTCCATTTTTCAAACAATTTACTCTAGAATTAATTTGGAAGTGATTAATTTTTGTTAGTGGCCTGTGTTTGGTGGCCACCAACACTCAAACATTTATTTATTTTTTTTGCTGCTGCTTGTTCAAACTACTTTTTTAAATTGAGTTGAAACATCATAATTCGTGACTTTTTTTGGACAACTTAATTGTTTTATGTTCAATCTACTTACATTTGTAAAAACAAATAAAATCATTTAATTGATTTGTGTTGGGACAACTTAAAACGATTTTGTTGAACCCAGTATTTTAACAGGCGATGTACAAACTGATTTTAATGAACTGCACTAAAAGAGCAATCACTATAGAGATCATTTTAATCAAACCAAACTGACCAAGTGTGAACACACCCTCAATCCCATCTTAATGATTGTACCTTTCTTTCTGCAGTGTCTCGTGGTCATGATGATGCCAATAAGCATTAACAGAAGCAGAAGGAAGACCACCAGGATGTAGCCCACTTGATGAAGTAGATGGGTTTGATTCTCAGGCAGGATTACATTGAGGACGTGAGGCGCTTCCACCATGTTTGTATCTGCACACCAAAAGGTAAAAGGAGAACCAGATGAATTAGAGCTTAGTTTTAAAAGGATTTTATGCATTTTGATTTAAGCTATGCTAAAAGGCATAATAAATGCTCTTGTTGTTTGTTTTCCTTATTTTAGCCAGGCCTGGCTGGTGAGAGCGCAGAGGGACAAAGTTTCATGTCAGAATGGCCAAAACAGGCGTAATGAGTTCCAGACCTGATGTCATGCAGCAGCAATGGAGAACAAGAAAAAACACTCAAACAAGCAGAAAGGGAAGCGATAGTGCAGGCGGAGAGAAATACCACCACTTCATGGTCAGTCTGTCTGGAGACGCTTTTACATTTATTTAGCAGCCCACAACAACAGGGAAAATTTAGATTAAATCTGCCCAAGTAAGTCAGTCACCAAACAAACTCACTTAATGCTGCTGTTTGTGTGTTTTACAGCATTGTGAATATAGCATATTGACAGAAAATTACTTCTTTACCCCACAACTAACAGATATTATGATTAGTTTATGAGTCAGCGTGTATCATTCAAATGAATAATGAGGAGTTCACCGAGTCACACACAGATCAAATTAATGTAATACTTAGTAGTTCACCCAAAAATGAATCATGAAATGTAATCATTTAGTCACCCTTTACTTGTTCCAAACTAGTTTGAGTTTCTTTGTTCTGTTAAACACAAAAGAAGATATTTTGAAGAATGTTGAAAACCAGTAATCATTGACTTCCAAAGTAGGAAAAACTAAATCAATGGTTACAGGTTTCCAGCTTTCTTTAAAGTATCTTCTTTTGTGTTTCACAGAAAAAACAAAAACAAAGATTGTTTAGCACATGTGGGTGAGTAAATGGTGAGTTTATTTTCATTTTTGGGTGAACTATCCCTGTTGATACAGTTTTAAAGTTGCTGTTTTATAGTTTTGTGAATCAGAAAACGACTTCTTTACCCCACAACAAAGTGATATTTTGATTGGTTTATGAGTCAGCGTGTATCATTCGAGTGAATAATGAGTTCACTGAGTCACACATGCTTAGACTGATCATATTAGTGTAAGTGATTCCTGACTCAAAAATGAAAATGTGTTGTCAATTTGCACACTCAGGTCATCCAAGATGTAGGTCACTTTTTTTCTTTAGCAGAAGATTAAAGGATATATTTTCAGCTAAAATCGTGGCCCTGATTTATAAATTACATGTCAATGGTTACCATTTGAGAGTCAAAAACATGCAGAGGCAAGACACAATGATTTTCAATGACTACTGATGATACATTGAGGTCTTATGAAGAGATTCAAGTGACTGTTTACAACACTGTTAAATCTGCAACCTCTGCAAATAGTTTTGAGAGCATTCATAACCAGCTTCGTCACATTATGACGTATGTGTGGTAGAGGAGGTTCACACAAGACATGATGTTGTTTCTTTACAACAAAAATCAAGATATCATGTATTATTGTTCAGTAATTTTACTCTGATTGTGTATGCTGCAAAATTACTAAACAGCATCAACTCAGCCCAAAATATCCTAAGTGTGAAAATGTGACAGTATGGTACTAATATTGACTCTCAAAATGCCGGAAATTGTTGAATTGCATTTTATGAACACACATTTTAAGCAGAGATTTTAAAATATATATATTTTCATTGTTCTATTTTTTTAATGGCCAAAGGATGTGTATATTTACAGCTAATTGTTATTTCAGGATGAGTTATCACTTTAAGTGTTGAACATTTTACACACAGAACATATCAAAATACAAAACCCGAACAAATCAGTCATTTGATTAAAAACATTCTGTCAATTTTGGACATTATTATAAAAGAACAGTATGTATTGACGACAAGCAAAGTTGGAAAGAGAGAAAGTCGACTTCTTTATGACCTATTTATGGCCTATTCACTACATGTCTGTCACAAACATTACTATTTGGACAGAGACCAAGACACACTATGGGCCAATTCAAATTGTTGTATTTCCGCTAGTCTGTAATTACACCGGCAATTTTTTAATGATTTTGTTAAGGCTACAAAATAGCTAATAAAAAAAGAGCATCATTTAATTTCAAATACTGTATATTCTAAAGTCATAAACACTTTTGCAAAATTAGACAACAAAAATTAATAAATTAGCTTGTGAATTGTGTGTAAAATTACAAAATATAGTAAATATAGACCATTTCAATGTGGTCATGTTATTGGCCCATGAACATTTTCTGCTTGTTATCAAACTATTTCATAACTGTAACAAGAGGCAATTCAATCATAACCTAATGTTAAAACAGCTATCATAACATTATTTATCAATATCTGGTTCTTTTTGGATTCTCGAAAGATATAGATATTAAACATGTAAAACAGGAAATACGTTGGGAACATTGTTTTTATTTACATCCCTCAAAATGGTCTATATCAATATTTGTATTTTTTTATAATTTAATTAATAATATTAAAAGGATATGGTAATATATAATAATAATATAAATAATTAACACAATTTTCTTTTCATATTTAAGAAATAAAAAAGTCCCATTTAGACTATACAATAAATCTGTAACATAGCTGACTGATGTTATGGCATCTTTTTCTACTTATAGTGAACCGGGACAAAATGTTTACAGACATGCGAAGATGTGAATCTAACACGGACCATTCCTGCTTTCGGCTTTCTTCTTACAACAGGCCAGATGTTCTACAGATGTGGCTTTTCATGTCAGAAGAACAGCCCATTGCCAGCACAAGATAGGGAATATTGTCTGAGCAATGATTGTAAAGTCTGCAAACCCCAGGAAAGCAAGATGTTGCTTGTGGGCCTGTAATAGTTTTTAAAAAGCGAGTCCAGTCATTGCTTAGCAGAGGAAATATGAAGCAGTCTTCCAATAAAACCTCCCCCACCTCCTTTATGACCTATTCACAGCATTTCTGCTGAAAACATTCACTCGCACAAACACTTCTTTACAAGTGTTTTGAAACACAGAGACGACAGGGACAAAGCCAAAATGACTGGAGTGAGTGAGTCAGTCTGAACAAACACTAAAGTCAATTTTAAACACTGCTCAAAACACAGAGAAAGAGTGAGAGATGGAGAGATTACTGTAAAATTCCCAATGCAATCTGGAGGAGACCAAGCAGGGGTGTTCAGCAAATGTAAACAGAGAGAAAAGGGGGGGGGGGGGGTGAATATAGTCCAGAAACATTCCTCCACAAATCCAAATATACAGCAAGGAAGGAGCAAAAGAGCTGATTAGGAAAACACAGACATTTCTGAAAGATCCTATGAAAGCCTATGAATAATTATTTCTCAAACTATGTTTCATTTAAGCGGTTAAATGTAATTTTACTTATCAAAAAGCATGTCTGATTTTAAAAAAAATCAAAAAAGCTATTTAATTGAACAACAATTTATTAAGAGATTACCAAGATTTTCATCTTTAACGGAAATTAAAGCTTAAAAAAGTGTTTAATATAGTTTACATTAAGACAAGTCTTTAACCAAAAGTATTCAACATAATTTTAAAACATATGTCATAGATTTCTGGTCATAATAATTGAAAAGAGACAATAAATGCACCCTAAAAGTTATCTAACTACTCTACGCTGTCTGAACCAATATAATAGCTTTTTGTGGGCAAACGTTTTCTTTATTCACAAAAAGCTTAAAATTTATAACATTAAAGTTCAAATCTAGTTCAAATCATGTCTAGATTTTAAAAAAGGCGTATTTGAAAGTAATATGTTCACCAATTTATATGGTATAAGTGATAGTTCACCAAGAAAACAAAGATGACCTCATCATTTATACTGCCTCATGTAGTTTATGAGTTTCTTTCTTCTGTTGAACACAAAAAAGAAGATATTTTGAAGAATCTGGTTGCTGGTATTCCCCAATACTGGCTTGAAGGGCATCCACTGCGTAAAACATATGCCGGAATAGTTGGCGGTTCATTCAGTTGTGGCGACCCCTGATAAATAAGGGACTAACCCAAAGGAGAATGAATGAATGAATGAATGAATGAATGAATGAATGAATGGTTGCTGGTAACATCTTCTACCATAGAAGATGGAAAAAATACAAGGAAGTCAATGGGTACCAGCTATCTAAATTTTTTTTACAATATCTCCGTTTGTGTTTAACAGAGGAAAGAAAATCAAATGAAGTGAAGTGTGAGTAAAAGATGATAGAATTTTTGTTTTTGGGTGAACTATCCCTTTATGATGAGAATTAGAATAGACTTGAAATATAATACGCAAGGTATATGGACAACTATTATGGTGACGTGTTAGATACTGAAAACATTGTTCAGTTTAGTGGCAAAAACTGCATGCATGTCAGTTCTTCTAAAACTAATATTAAACTCCCTCAAATGGGTTTATGTATTGTAAGTCTTTTATCTAAGAAAGGCAAAACCAATTTTTAATCAAACCAATCCAGTTGCATTTAACTTGGTATTTTTAGTTGTTAAAATCCACATGAGCTAGAAATTGCTGAGACTTATATTTCAGTATATTGATGTACTTCCACCTGAAATGGAATATCGAGTATGGGCAGGGCTTTTTTATGCATCATTTCCTCACAGAAAACTAACAGTTGTAGTTTAAAATATTGTGGCTAAAGGCGTCAAACTGACTTCAACAAGGAAGGACCGCCACATAGCATATAGTCAAACTTTACTTAAAGAACGTTTTTTTCTTAAATTACTCAGATTAATTGTTTACCTAAAGAATAACAATGTGAGTATTTAAAAAAAAAAAAAAAAAAAAAGCTTAAATGAAATATTTTTTTAAAAAGAATAACAATGTGCGCTAGCAAAACACATTGTAAATTTTGATTTCACATGGACTTTAAGTGTATCCTTTCCCATACACATAAGAAAGCCATTTAATTTTGGGAAGACATGAAGACAGTCTAGTTCACATCTAGGTTAAAATATGGTGTATCTGTAAGTGATGTTCACCAATGGATATGGTGTAAGTTCACCAAAGTAATTTAATGACCTCATCATTTATTCTCCCTCAGCTTTTTCATTATGTTAAACACAATTTGTTTAAAGAATCTGGTTGCTGGTAACCAATTACCATAGTAAGGTAAATACATGCAACTTTATCAGCATTTGAGAGTCAAAACAGACTTGAAAAATACTGTGCAAGATTTTATGGACATATGAATTAGATATTAAAAACATAGTTCACTTTAGTGGCAAATACTGCATTTCAATTCTTTAAAAACTAATAAATATTAAACTGCACAATACATGTCTATCCTCATCTACTGTAAGCAATTTATCTGTAAAACACAAAGAAAGACATTCTGAGTAAAATAAACAGATTCACTTGTCTTTGAATTGCTATTTTTGTTGTTAAATTCCCCATGAAGCAGAAATTTCTGAGACTTTTATTCCAGTATGTTTATGAACTTCCACCTGAAACTGAATATTGAGTAGGGGGCAGGGCTTTCTCTTTGTGCATCATTCCCTCATAGCAAACTAACTAACAAACTGACAGAAGGACCGCCGCTTAGCATAAGGTCAGACTTTAAATGAAGAACTTTTGTTTTAGTGGACTAATTTACAGATTAATTGTTCACCTAAACAATAATAATATGCGCTGCCAAAATACATTGTAAATTTGATTCCACATGGACTTTAAATGTATCTTTTACCTTCCAGACAAGAAAGTAAGTCATTTAGGTTTGGAAAGACTAGTTACTAAATGACAGGGTTTGCTCTTTAAAAAATATAATAAAAAATATTTCCTCACTTGGATCATCAGCAGGAAGGACAGTACGAGCAGGGTTTTTCTGTGCTTCAGTGGAGGAGCGCACTGGAGGCAAAGCCTGGACAGAAGGGCCGAGGATCAACCTGTAGATCCGTCTTTCATGCAGGCCACAGTAATGATGGTGAAGATGGCAGGAAAACAGGCCTTTATCAGCTGGCTGAATGTTATGAAGGCTCAGTGAGAAATCCCCAAGAGAAAAGGCATCGGCTGAGATGTTCATCTTTTTTTGAAGGTAGAGCGGCCCGTACTGCCGCTTCTCTCCAGAGGCGTACATGTCAATGAGGCGTTCCGCTCGGTCACGGGTCACTCCAGGTGCCTGCCAGTCCCAGTGGACCACCTGCTGCTGGCCCTCATCCCTCTGACTATCCGTCCACAACTGCCTGCGGATCACACAGGGAAGAACCACACTCTTCCCCACCAGAACCACAAACACTGCTTTCTCGCCATCCCAGACGCGCTTTTCCTTTCGAGCTGCAGAGATTGAGGTGGCATATTAAAATTTTAATACTTAATTGGTAATCAATACTTGACAATAATTTAATAATATTAATCAATGATCAATACACTTTTACAAGACAGTCAAAACTAAAACCTTATCAGACAAATTTCATATTTTTAAACATTTGTAACATATAAAAATCATATTTTTTATAATTTTTCAAGCAGTATGTATTTCCTTGTTTCCACATTAAAAGAGATGTAGAAGTAAGGTTGATAAATTTAAAGTAATTGATAAAAATACAAACAATATAAAAAAGTAACCGGCCACATTATTAGGTACATCTTACTAGGACCCACTTTTGCCTTCAGAACTGCCTTAATCCTCCGTGGCATAGATTCAACAAGGTACTGGAAATATTCCTCAGAGATTTTAGTCCATATTGAAATGATAACATCACGTAGTTGCTGCAGATTTGTCGGCTGCACATCCATGATACAAATCTTCCGTTCAGCCACATCCCAAAATTGATTTGTGATCTGGAGACCGTGGAGGCCATTAGAGTACAGTGAACTCATTGTCATGTTCAAGAAACTAGCCTGAGATGATTTGTGCTTTATGACAAGGCATTGACATGATGCTCAATTGGTACTAATGGGCCCTAAGTGTGTCAAGAAAATATCCCCCACACCATTACACCACCACCAGCCTGAACGGTTGATACAAGAAAGGATGGATCCATGCTTTTATGCCAAATTCTGACCTACCATCCAAATGTCGCAGCAGAAATTTAGACTCATTAGACCAGGTAACATTTTTTCATTCTTCTATTGTCCAATTTTGATGAACCTTTGTGAATTGTAGCCTCAGTTTCCTGTTCTTAGATGACAGGAGTGGCACCCAGTGTGGTCTTTTGCTGCTGTAACCTGTCCACCTCAAGGACGTGTTGTGCATTTAGAATTACTGTTGCCTTTTTGTCAGCTGGAACCAGTCTGGCCATTCTCCTCTGACCTCTGGCATCAACAAAGCATTTGCGCCCACAGAACTGCCGCTCACTGGATATTTTCTCTTTTTTGGACCATTCTTTGTAAACCCTAGAGATGGTTGTGCGTTGAAATCCCAGTAGATCAGCAGTTTCTGAAATACTCAGACCAGCCCGTTTGGCACCAACAACCATCCCATATTAAAATTCACTTAAATCCCCTTTCTTCCCCATTCTGAAGCTTAGTTTAAACTGCAGCAGATCGTCTTGACCATGTGTACATGACTAAACAGATTGAGTTGGTGACATTTGATTGACTGATTAGAAATTTGCATTAACAAGCAGTTGGACAGGTGTACCTAATTAAGTGGCCAGTGAGTGTATGTGATATAACAGTAAAAATGTGAGATTAAGTCATAATTATGAAGTAAAGGTATTATTTTGAGATAAAAAATTCATATTGTTATATAAGGAGCTGTAAATGAGACATTGAAGGTCATTTTGTGACAGAAATTATTTTGTTCGTTTAAAAGATCTGTTATATAATTCTGATATAAAAATAAAAAATAAAATTAAATATAATGAAAAAGACAAAAATCTGGTAGTCACAACTGTTGAAAATGCATAATTGTGAGTTAAATGGCATAATGAATAATTTTCTGAGATACAAAAATCTTAATTGTGAGAAACAAGACATCAACAAACAGTCCTAAATAGAAAAGTCCTAAAAGCATGACTTAACATCTCAATTATGATAGGTATGATAAACATCACTTTATTTACAATTTTTGTACTTTAATGCAGAAACAGGCTGATTTTCTTGAGCTTTCGCTTCAATGTATAGATGCCTGGCTTATTTCTCTTACGTGATTTGGTGACGTTGAGCTGCATTTGAACGGACTGGTGGACTTTGCAATAGTGGTGATGCAGGTTGCAGGTATAGATGCCTTTATCATTCATGTCCACATCTGCACAAATACAAAAGAAGCATCATGTATTACAAGTAAAATAATCAAAACAATGGCGAAGACATGGTCTAAAAAGCATGAACCTACTATTAATAACTAGTGAGAAGTTTCCATCACTGAAGGCGTCTTTTGCAATAGTGACTCTGCCTTTGTTGTAGTCATTGTATAAGCGCTCTGTTCCCCCTGAAAACATGTCTAAAATTCGCTCCACGGTGTAATCGGGTTGGTTCCGGATCAGGTCCCAATGCACAACTCGCTGACGGTCACGCAGACGATCCTGCCTCCAAACCATCCTCTGGTTATGACACGGCAGAACCACATCCGACCCTACTGGAACTGTAATGTTCCTCGCCTCAACAACCACACTCGGTATGCTGTTTTGTGTCCAGACTGGAAGACATAAACATGAATATTCATTTGGGTTAATGCAGTATCAACAACACTGGAGAACTTCTATCAAACCATTTTGTTGTTCACTCACCACATGGTAAGATCAATGCACTGCAGGCTGAAATGAGAACAAGAACACAAGCATTATAGAATTACTGTAATACATATATATATAGGGTGAGTAAATGGTGAGTAAATTTTCATTTTTATGTGAACTGCCCCTTTAAATCACTGTTAGCATGTATTACATTCATACTGGGAATACAGACATACTAAAACAGTTTAAAGTGCAGAAGACTTATTACTAAATGTTTTATTTGCTGCTATGCCAAGACAAAGAAATTGAGCTGAAAAAAGCAACACAGAGGATCCATTCATTCACTCTCGGCAGCCTGTATGTAAACCAGAAGACAATTACCAACTTTCTGAATACTTTCTCTGCATAATCAACACTAAAGATAATGTTTTAACATAATGTTTTCGAAGAATAGAAAAGAAAACTATTTGGGGTAAAATAATATTTGGTTAAAGGTTGGTAATTGTGAATTTTTATTGTAGTTGCATGAAAAATTGTAAACCATTTGTCAGAATTATAAGACACAATTCTGAGTCCTTTTCTCAGAACTGCAAGTCTGTAGATGTTATAAACACTGTTAACACTTTTCTGTAGAATCTACAGTAACGTACTAGCAGCAGTTCGCCAGTAACTTACTATAAATCAGATCCAGCAAAAATTAGGGGTGTGAACCTATACTGGTCTCACGGTTCGATTCGGTTACGATTATCATGCCATCGATTCGGTTCCATTCGATATCTCGGTACATCACAGTGCATTGACGGTGCTTTCTATATCTAATTACATATTTCTTCACAACACAATATTTTTTTTATTAAAATCTATAAATATATTGATATTAAAATATGACTTGTTAATACAATATTGTTCTTTAATACAAGCAGTGAGATATACCTTTAGTTTTACCTGCTCAAAGAAAACACTCTTTCTGAATGAATGTATCAAACAAAACTCCAATACATGTACAGAAGGCAACATGAGCTTTTATAGCAAATAAACTAATGTAAATATTATCTCGCTTGCTTTTTGAGTGCTGTCTTACAGCCATATGATTCGTCATTGTCTTCACCCGCTCAACAGAAAGGGCTGCGCTTGGCTTTAGAAATGAAATCGCTGTTCACCGATGGTCATGGTTACAGTCTATTTGCATAATACGCGGTTATCACAGGTAATCCGTAATAGAAATAGTGGAGAAAACTTGCACCTCATACAAGCTCGTGTATGGATCCACAAGTATCACTTTAACAGCCAAGAGTAGAGGAAAAGTTACCTCACAAACAGGCCAGCGCAGTGGGTCAAATGTCCAAAGTGTGTATGAGAGAAAGAATCAGAGATGGATTTTTACAGCATCTCTCTCTACAGTAAAATAGCGGCTTGTGTGTTGTGCCTTCTTCAGTGTCAATGAAAGACTTTCCAGCAAACTTACAAGCAGTTGAATTGTGCATAATTATCTTCCTTTTTAGTAGGAGCGTTTTATTTACTCACCCTCGCCTCCTTCACCATATTATTCTACTGCGACATCGCGCAAAGGAGATAAATGATTTCAGTTGGTGATAACCGGTTATGATCTTTTACTGAATCGATATTGAGTTGTCTCCATCTGCATCGCAGTGCACCGAAGAAACAATTAATTTTGACAGCCTTAGCAAAAATACTGTATCAACATTTACTTCACCATTTATCTTCCTGTTTATGTATTTACAGTAATGTGTGAATATATTTACTGTAAATTTCACAAAACATTCATTCATTCATTTTCTTGTTGGCTTAGTCCTTTTATTAATTTGAGGTCACCACAGCCCAATGAACCGCCAACTTATCCAGCAAGTTTTTACGCAGCGGATGCCCTTCCAGCCGCAACCCATCTCTGGGAAACACCCACAAACACTCATTCACACACACTCACGGACAATTTAGCCTACCCAATTCACCTGTGCCGCATGTCTTTGGACTGTGGGGAAAACCGGAGCACCCAGAGGAAACCCACACAAATGCAGGGAAAACATGCAAACTCCACATAAAAACGCCAACTGAGACGAGGATCGAACCAGCGACCTTCTTGCTGTGAGGCAACAGCACTACCTACAGCGCCACTGCTTCACCATAATTTTCACAATGCAAATTTAAAATACAGTAACATACTGCATAACTGCGTTTAAACGCTTTTCTTCAACTTTATATTCATCAAAGGATCTTGTATTAAACAAATATTACACGGTTAACAATTTCCTGTAGAGTTTAGAGTAACTTACTGGCAGCAGTTTGCCAGTATCTTACTGTAAATCACTTACAGCAAAAATACTGTATTTGCATGTACATCATATATCTTGTTATATATTTATTTACAGAATATTATCTTTACTGTAAGATATGTACTAAAATATACAGAACTTTTCACAATGAAAATACAGTAACATACAGTTCATATTACAGTTAAATACTGTCATTTACAAAAATCGTTAACAGTGAAGTTATGAGCGTGAGTTATTCATATTGTGATAATAATAAAAAAAAATTACAATGTAATTTCTAAATTGAGGAATTTCTAAATGAGGAATTGCAGAACTGCACAAAGACAAAATCACAACATGAACTGAGGGAAATCATATAAACTACCATTCTGAGAATTTATGTTTCTGAGAAATTATATATTGTTTTCACAACCTTGCAATTGTGTTTTTTTTATATGCCTGGATTGCAAAAAGTCAGAAATGTGAGATAAAATGTTGTAATCGCTATTTGCAGTTTTACAGTCTGCAAATTTTTAGATGTGTAAAGAATTCAAGGGGGATTTGCGATTTGCCAAATCATTTTTAACACAATTCGTTAGAACACTGATGTGTTGCCCTTTATAAAATTGCAACACTGCAAAATGCTAAAAAAAAAATGCTATCAAAGTAAGCTTAATATAAATAAACTAAATTGCTGATGAAATTGCAATGGCTAAACATCATTGCTGATGCTGCAGAATTGTCTTTTAAGGTATAGTTAGTCTTTCATGGCTATGACCGACCAGTTAACGTAATTTAGCACAACATAACAACAAACATATGTCGATAAAACTGGACAAGCACAGAGAGAGAGAGAGAGAGAGAGAGAGAGAGAGATGAAAAGGTTGAAAACTGAACCGTTTCGTCAAATATGCAGACATATTTTAACTTTTTCCCACACAAAACAATGCGAAGAATTGGTAGTCATGCATAATAGTAACTACAACAGAGTAAAATAACATTGAAAATAAATTAAACAAAAAGAATTTATAAGAATTGTGGTTTGAAAAGTTGACTACTTACTGTACAGCACAATAAACATGTCTGAAGTGTGGTTGAAGATGGTGGTTAGTTCTGCTGCGCGGTGAAACGGTGTTCTTCAAAGGATTGTTTCCTCACCTCTCAAGTTCGTCGACCAGCGACTGAAAACAAAAAATCTTTGCCGTCTGCTTGTCTGGACCACTGACATGCTCCTCCTCCAGAATGAGACATGATGAAATACTAAACTGATATTCACTGCAAAAGTTTCTTCACTTACTCCAAGTATTAACAATTTTATCAAGACCTGCATTTAGAATAATGTACAGGCATTTAATATAAACATCAAAATAAATAAATAAAACTATATTTATACATACAATAAATATTTAAATATTTTAATTAGCAATGTTTACAGTACAAATATTTGAATATTTGGAGAAAAAAACATTACAGAAAGACGTCAATGAAAGGCTGCATTTATTTAATCCAGAATACAAGAAAAATGTGCATTTATTTCAATGTAATCACTCATTAACACGTGAAAATTTTAAAATGAAATTCATTTTTTGTGATCAGAGCTAAATAGCATCAAGTATTATTAGTCCAGTCTTATTATCGATCAAATATGCTGACTTAATGCTGTTCTATATTCAATTATTGATGCACTTTATCAATGTTGAAAATAATTACTGCTTCCCGTTTTTGTAAAAACCATGATACATAATGCGATAAAAAAAGGTTCATCATCATATATTTAAAATAAAATATTTATAAAAATATATTTTAAATAAAAAATAAATGTTTTATTGCGACATTTGATAACTTTAATGTGTCCTTGTATTAACGTTTTTAAGAGAAAACAAAAATGATAATGTAACAGCAGAATTCAGTGTTCAATCATATTTAATTACATTAACAGAACATTTTTTTAAACTTGAAATAAAGCAAATATGCAGACTTAGCTGAATAGAGAATGAAAACAAAAACTAAAGCTTTTGTTGAACTATGGGAAGCATTATCCATTATCATCAGGAATGCTGTTACTTAGGTTTGTTTTGAGAAGCTTCTTAAAACACATCTTTTTAGCAAAGCATTTGTGATCATCACTATCACTTTCATGCAATTTGTAACATTTTGCTTATTTGTCGTACTTCATTGTGGTGTGACTTCTGGCTTCTTGCATAAAATCCCAGTAAGCTAGTAGTTCTCAGCATTTTTTATTTGTTATTGTATATTTTGTAACACTTCGGAGTTTAAAAAAGCCTCATAAATAAAATGTGTTAATATTATTATTATAATTAACACAAATACAGCAGTATGATTGGAGGTGATTTGCTACACCCTAGTGGTGAGAAGAATAACAGCTAAAAAAGATTGTTTCAAATGAATGTATGCTCTTACAGGGTTTCAAGTCAAATTTAAGACATTTTAAAGATCATTATGAATAAAATTTAAGACTTACACAAGGTTAAATGCTAAGATTATTTTTAATGGCCCAGTTAAATTGTCTAAACCATTCAAAACAAATGTTATGGTGAGGAAGTGACATTAATAAATAATCTTTTGGTATTTTATTGAGATGGAATGTTAGTGATTGGAAAGGTGTTACATGGACACAGAAAAATTAAGACCCGTTTAAAATGATTTAAGACATATAAAACAATATTTTTGCGAATTTAAGATATTTTTAAGGACTAAAATTTAGTTTTAAATTTAAGACATTAAGATTTTTTTTAAAAACCCTTCAGATACCCTGTCTTTAAACAATACACAACACATACATAAGTGGTAAGGTGTTTTATTACAGTAACAATCACTGTATGCTCATTCAAATGATTGTATAGGACTGAAACAGTAAGTAGTCCACTAAATTGTATTATGAAAAGACAAGTCAAAAATATTAAAGTTACAGATTCATCTCATTTAGACCGACCCACTCTGACATAGATTTTGGGCACTGTGCATCCCTCTGGGGCTTTCTTCAGTCCAGCTCGTCTAAGAATTCTCTCAAGATCTTTCTCAAATCTTTCCTGTAAAAAAATAAGATAGCATACATTTATTTACAGCACTTATTTATTAATATACTTTTTTAGGAGGGCTTTGATTAAGCATAAAACAACATATTAAGGTTGTATTGCCTGTTTATTCTTCCTCCTGGCGTCCCTCACTCTCTTCCTCAGAAACTTGGTCCGTTTTTGCAGCTTCTTGTATTTGTGCCTGTTCATCTTCCTCCGTCGGATATCCAAAACGTTCTTGCAATTCAGTGGTGTTACATGTTCTCCATCCTCTAGTAATGGTACAGAACTTGAGGGCAGAACCATGGATTTTCCTACAATCTCCCCTTCGTCCAGAGGTGGTGAAACCTCCAGCAGTGGAGGTAGAGAGTAGCGCAGGGAAAGCCAGCTTTCTAAGGGTGAAACTGATAGTTTGCGGGGCACAAGTACCTCCTCTAACTCAGGTTCAAGAGGAGTCCATAGTTTGGGTGGAAGTGTGTTGTCAGCAGCAGAAGTGAAGCACCTGTTTGTATGGTGAAGTGCTCTAAAAGGGGTGAAATGACAGTGTTGCACAGCACTGGTTAATACCTGGCTCTGTGTCTGCAATGGGCCTGGAAGAGACAAAAAAGGCACATTGTACAAGACCAATTCCAGCGTTATGGATGTGACATTTATGAGGAAAAGGCTTCATTATGGATGTGACAGAAGAAATTGTGTGACTTTGGTAAATCAAATATAATTGTTTGAAAACACTGACAGAGATATTTTGAGTACGTTACTGTACTATACAAGCCTACAAATAAATTAGAAAGGGTTTCACTATTTTGATGAAAATTGTGTATTTTTCAGGGCAAGGTTGACAGTTCCATAGAATTAATCAACATCATTATTAGATCAACATCTCTGGCATTACAGAAATTATTAAGGAAATGTCTAATAAGATAGATAAAAATTGAGAAAGTAGTTTTTAGGAATTTTTTGAAGCCATTAAAAACAAGAAATCATAATATACTGGTAAATAAATTAGAAAGGTATGGTATTCGAGGAGTTTGTTGACACTGGCAACCATTAATCTTTATACCTGAATGTAAATTGTGGCATACCACAAGGTTCAGTTTTGGGTCCAATTCTGTTTATAATTTACCTTAATATAAACAAAGTTTATTTTATTTGAAGATAATACAAGTATATTTTGCTTTGGGGATAATGTACCAAAACTTGTGGAGTTGATTAAAACAGAAGTTAATAAATTGAAATTGTGGTTTGACGTAAACAAATTGTCATTAAATACAAGTAAAACAAAAAATATGTTAATTGGGAAATTAAAAATGTAGTCATAATATCGATTTAAAAATTGATAACAAAGTTATCTTAAAGTTTCTTGGTGTTGTATTGGATTATAAAATTAGTTGGAAACAGCAAATAAATAATGTGATATCTAAATTAGTCACAACTGCAGCAATAGTGTATAAAGAAAGATTTATCCTGGACAGTAAATCAATGTATGTATTATATAACACACTTATGTTGCCATATACGAGTTACTGTGTTAAAATCTGGGGGAATAAATTGAAGTCTAACTTACAACCCTTATATACAATACAGAAGAAAGTAATTAGAATTATAAAAAAATGTGGACAATTTGGAGCATACAAATCCTTTATTTTTTAAATTGAAGATACTTGAGTTAAATTATTGGGTTAAATGCAAAAACAGCACATTTTATGTTTTATGAATAGACTACTTCCAAAAAAATGGTATGCATTTCGGAAGAAAGACAAGGAGGATATAGCCTGAAAAAAAACTAAATCTTATGAGGTTGAAAACAAGGACAACTTTTAAAAATTTGTGTATGTCTATATGTGGTGTGAAATTATGGAACAGATTCTCAAACAATGTCAGGATATTAATTAATTTAAAAAGCTGTATGAATATATATATATATATAATTTGTCAAAAATGCCAAAAGGATAAAATATGTGTCATGTTAAGCTCGAATGTGTCATGTAAAAACAAGAGACAAGTAAAAGAAGAAATAAGTTATTGACTAATTGAACTAATTGATGAATGATGTGTGTGGAAAATAATAAGCTTTATCCTGCTCTATTTTGACCATGTTGAAATGTATTTTGTTGAACTGTTTTGTGTATAATTTTTGATTGAAATAAATAAATCAAATCAATGCTATGAGCTTACTGGACACTTTGGAAAGCAGGTTCAGTCGTGAAACCACTCTCGGAAGAAACATGGTTGACAGTCCTTTAGCCGTTGATAACCATCAAGAAAATATCATCATGTGCTAAAACATACACAACATGAACTGTTGTTTAGCTCAAACATGGCATTTCCTTAAAAGTTTCACAGAGAAAAATGTTAATTATTTCATGTTTTACTCACCCTTTACTTGCTCCAAACCCGTTTTGACTTTCTTCTGTTGAACACAAAAGAATATAACAAGAATAAAAGAAAGCTGGAAACCTGCAATCATTGACTTTCACAGCATAATTTAATTTGCATGTTAGAGTGAACTCTCTCTTTAATGAATACAAGACATCCATGAACCAGTGAATAACCAATTTTACATGTATTTAACAATATGAAAGTAACTTGTAAATATTTTACAAAGCATACACTGAATTATTTGTGGCAGCTCCCATAATATCAAAAATAACCACCATAAATTGATTCTCCAAAGGGATTTGACTTTATTGAATAAACATGGGCTGCATTCAAAAGCTCTAAAATGCAGTAATCCAAGGTAGGAAGGTATCTGAATACAAATACTGCTCGACTTTTGTGTATTTCATTTTGTCTTAAAGTGCTGTCTCCATGTGTCTTAAAGTGCTGCTAGCATGTCTTTTTGTCTAAAAATCAAATATTTGTTTCTGACCAAAATTTTTCACTTTTGATGACATTTTTTAAGTAACATTCGTATTGCTGGAATAAGCAAATACTCCCAAAAGGTTATGACCAAAGCTCTATTTATTTTGTTGTACATGATTAAATCATTATGCACAATAAATCGTTTCAGCATTGATATCGAAATGTGCCCGTCTGCAGTAGACGCATCGCAGGATCTACAATGTCAAATTGGGATTTTCCACAGTTGAAAACATATGATTTGTGGATTCACTGCAAAATTTTACTAAAGTTAACAAACATGTTTATCATTTGCATTTGTTTTTAAGGTCTGTGAGCACTTTAAGCCAGTTTAAAACATTCAGGCAAGAAATTATAATGCTTTTAACTTAAAGAAGGAATTATTGCATTCATCCAATGTTCACTATGCACTGATATTTTACATTTGTTTATTGTTATGTTGCCTGCTAGACTCCCAGAAAAACATAAAATTATGTGCATTTTATTTGCATCTTTGTTCCACTGTATTTATCAATGCTAGTGATTTGGTTAAATTTATATTATGCAGATGCACTAAACTACAAATTCATCATCGTAGAAAACGTAAAAATCGTGCTGGATAAGTTGGCAGTTCACTCCACTGTGGCGACCCCGGATTAATAAAGGGACTGAGCCAAAAAAAAATTAATTAATTAATTTCTAATCAAGCAAATTTCTCTCTAATTAGACAGACATGAGGTCAGAAAGACAGGCAGACTATTCATTTGTAGATATGAATTACTAGTAACACAAAGAAATTAACATTTACACATTAAAATGAAAAGCACAAGCCCAAAGAATGAATCAGCCAAAGCAGCATAATTGACTTTTAACATTAGCCTCAAGACACAATATTACCAAAACTAATTCAATCACTTAATGTAAGCATACTGACATCAACATCACAGAATATTCTGCATCATACAACACTAAATGTCTTTCACTCAAACCAGCATTAGCTGCAAGCTTTCGTAACGTTAGCTTCACATGATAACCGTTAGCATTGCTTGAAAATCACATGTATGTGAGCAAAAAAAACTAATAAATTAACAGATATTAAATCATATAAGAATAATTCACCAATTCTGGTGACTGTCTTCAAATAAATCGATCAGAATACATACCTCGCCGGTCCAAAATTGTTCAATGTGACTCAATCTACTTCCGGTCCATTGAATGTGTAGGTTCCCCTTCCAACAGATTTAACCTTGAAAGGTTCCGAGCGCCAGATCTTTATACAGTCAAATGGCTTTTGCTCAGCAAATTGTGCGCCTAAATCTAAAAAGGCTTTAGATTTGACTCGCGTCTGTTTATGAGTCGTCAGTTTGTTTAAAATCAACAAAACGTACATGTCATCACATAGAAATACGTAGGACCAAAGAACATATATTCTAAGCTCTTTGGTAGAACAAATGATTATTGCTCAAATATAAAAATATCGGAATATCCATAGTAAATTTACAAACAGAAATGTTTTATAAAACGACCGGGTAAAAACATATCTACATTTCTTTTTTTCCACGTCAATTTTGCAAGTTTCTCCTAAAGGTGGCGCTGTTTCTTAATTTGTTTACTTTATTTATTATTTCGTTCTGTAATGTTATGCAAGTTTGCAAATTTATGAATTGATTAAAACTGCTGTTAAACTGATACCATGTTAATTATCTCTGTTATAAGTGACACATTTAAGCTATATTAACTCATGACAAATCTACACAATGAATATACATCTGTATTAGTTCAAATAATTGTAAAATAAATTAATTAAATCATTATCAGTAAGCATAACAAACAATGTCTATTATGATATTGCTGTATGTCCAAGAACTTCAATCAACAGTTAATCAGTTTGTCACTTAATCAATGTTTCTTGGGGGGAGGGGTAATATTATATACAGTCAAAGTCAGAATTATTAGCCCTGCTGAATTATTAGCCCCTCTGTCTGTTTCCCCCCCCCCCCAATTTCTGCTTAACAGAGAGCAGATTTTTTTCAACACATTTCTAAACCTAATTGTTTTAATAACTCATTTCTTATAACTGATTTATTTTATCTTTGCCATAATGACAGTAAATAATATTTGACTGGATATTTTTCAAGACACTTTTATACAGCTTAAAGGGACATTTAAAGGCTCAACTAGGTTATTGGGTTAACTAGGCAGGTTAGGGTAATTAGGCAAGTTATTGTATAATGATGGTTTGTTCTACACTATCTAGACTATAAAAAAGCTTAAAGGTGCCAATAATTTTGACCTTAAAATGTTTTTTAAAAAATTAGAAACTTATTTTATTCTAGCCGAAATAAAAACAAATAAGACTTTCTCCAGAAAAAAAAAAACATTATCAGACATTATGTGAAAATGTCCTTTCCTCTGTTAAACATCATTTTTAAAACATTTAAAAAAACAAAAAAAAACAAAGGAGGGCTAATAACTCAACTGTGTAATACAATCATACAGCTCTGTTGATAACTTCTCATCACCATTGCATACTTCCTGCTTATGCAATAAATATGTTTTGTTGCCTGTCCTGCATTTTTTGCTGATCCAAACACCGAACATGAAGGTTATGAACCACCTGAACTCACTGCCAGAATGAAAGATCCATATATTGGAGCGAGGTTATTTGATATGTCCCTGCTGAGATAAACAGCTAATAGCAATAAATAGCTAATATTAGATCCACGCTGTCTCGTCTGTGAATTTTCAAAGTTAGCATTCATCTGTGACAGAGATACATTACTTGCCAAGTCATGTTATGTAAGCTTTTGACAAGACGGACTGTCATTAAAATTCATGTGGCCAAAAAAGCATGTGACCAGCAACACCCCCAAGACTGTCATCACTGTGTAAAATTATTATATTTTTATAATACATATTCAATTGTGTAAATTTAATGGCATAGTAACACAAAAAGATGGATTGTGTTTTGTTTCAGCAGTGGTGACAGATTTGCTATCTATAAAAGGTAAATAAACCTGTTATACTGGATGACTACCATAAATATTTTTTCCTGATCCTTAACAGGAAAACAAAAAAGAATTCTGTTATTTTTCTAGAAAAGTTTATCATTAACCAGTGAATATCTTAAGTGCAGTAAACACAGTCTTTAGGCTTTTTTTTTGCTAGCCAGCATAATTAACAGTGTCAACAAACCTCAACGACCCACTTATCAGTGCACATTTAGGTGTGTTGTTTGAATTTTCCAACAGCTCACTCCCATCACACACCCCGTCTTCTCATAGGCTGCTCAGCTTGTTGTGTCCAATGATTTTACGAGTCTGAGACCTGAACATGGTGTCACATTCATTCCATAACAACAAATACACTGCAGGAGTCTCCAAACTATTTAGACAAACTGCTTTAAGGTGCCACATTTGTATTTTATATTGCATCTTGCATCATATACTTATGCTGTTTTCCATATTTTAGTAGCTAATCAAAAAGCAGAGCATTGTTTTAATAAACAGCTATGTACTACTACCTATATTAGCTGCATTCAGTTGTTAATTTACTAAATGCAATTCACTGATGTTACAAATAACTTATTTTATTGATTTAAAATCAAAACAAATTTAAAAACATACATAATTAATTGGTCAATTTAGCCACTCATAAAGTTTTATGTAGGACTAATTACATTTAAAAATCACATTTAAAAACATATATGATTAATTACATTTTGCAATTTATTCATTCATTCATTTTCTTTTCAGCTTAGTCCCTTTATTAATCCGGGGTCACCACAGCGGAATGAACCAACAACTTATCCAGCAAATGTTTTAGGCAGCAGATGCCATTCTAGCTGCAACCCATCTCTGGGAAACATCCACACACACTTATTCACACTCAAACACTACGGACAATTTAGCCTACCCAATTCTCCTGTACCGCATGTCTTTGGACTGTGGGGAAAACCGGAGCACCCGGAGGAAACGCAGGGAGAACATGCAAATTCCACACAGAAACGCCAACTGACCCAGCCGAGGCTCGAACCAGTGACCTTCTTGCTGTGGGGCGACAGCACTACCTATTGCGCTGCTGCGTCACTGATTTTGCAATTAAATTAATTACTGAAATACATTACAAATATATATACATTGATATGTTATAATATGCATTTCTTTAGCGACATGGTGGCTCAGTGGTTAGTATTGTCACCTCACAAAATCAATTTCAAGAAACTGTATAACACAATTTAGAATACAGTAAAAGAGGACAGTTCTTTTACACAATATTCACATTAGATACACAGGATAAAGAGCAAAACAAAAAAATTGTACATTAAAAAATTTTAAGAAATAATAATGCAATGAAAAAAGATAAAGATTCAAGCAGCATGAAAGATCTGATTATATTTACTCAAGAAGCACGTTTCTTATTATCAATCAATCTAACTGATTTGATTAAATGTTCTACATAGGAAGTCTATAAAGTATGGATTTTATTAAGGAACCTGTGTTTGTGAAAGTAAAATTTCCCAGAAAGTATAAGGAAGTTCACAGCGGCTTCTAAGGACTTGTTTTGTTTTTTAAAATAACAAATAACGTCCTTAAGGCGCAAATTACCACTCATGTTAACGTTGGAAAAGCAAAATAATCTTAAATCATTCCAAAACAATGATGATACATTGCATGAAACAAATGGCAAATGTCTTCTCATTCTTACAAATAGTGCAAATATCAGTAACATCACAATATTTGGACAAAAGTGCATTACATGAGTAAAAATTGTGCAAATTTTAAAATGCTTCTCTTTTATTTTATTAGCAATACAGAATTTATATGGTAATAATCATGTTTTTCTCCATTGAATATTAACAATTATAGAACCCCAAAAAAACTTTCCTCTAGGAATAATTGAGTTATGTGACTGGGACAATTGACGTATGAACTTATTATTGCATTCATTACCAAGAATAGATTTTCCTCCTAAGCATAATTGTGACAGTTTTTTGGAACCAGCCTCATAACGAATAGCTGCTTTCATCAGACACTAGGTATGGCCTTTATAAGTGTTTTAAATTCCATAAACTGGACAGGGGATTGATTAATATTTTTAAAACTCTCATTAGTTAAGAGATCCCCGTTACGATCAGAAATAAAAATCAAAAATAGATCAGAAAGATCAGAAATAAAAATAATGTTTTTGTTAAATTGTTTATCCCAAATAAATAAATTAATTAATATTATTTATCGTAATGTCTGCTTTATTCCATAAAATAGTTTCGTGGGGTGAGAAATTGTGATTCCAGACTAATAGAGCTTGTTGATGGAATTTAGCTAATTCTAAAAATAGGTAATTTACCACCTCACAGCTACCCGCACCACTGTGACGCTCTTAATATTTTATAAGAAAATAATTCCATAATTGTATTTACAAGTAATTTTAGAAATGTTTACTTTATTACTTTTTTATTTAAATTTTTAAGAACTCACATAACAAATAGATACTAAAAAGCAATGAAAACAGTAATAATAAGTAGCCCATGTGTGTGTGTGTGTGTGTGTGTGTGTGTGTGTGTGTGTGTGTGTGTGTGTGTGTGTGTGTGTGTGTGTGTGTGTGTGTGTGTGTGTGTGTGTGTTTGTTTGTTATTTAATTTGACAATTTTTTTTTGTGGATGTACCGATGGCGTGACGTCAAGGAACACACCTCCGTCCAGCCCCTATGACGCGTGTCCTGTAACTTCTCATGTTCTGCTTTATCCGGGTTTAAAGCAAGAGAAGCCGGTAGTTGAGCATCATCAGGCCGTCGGCCTCTGTGACTACTCTTTTATTTAACATATTGCGAGGAACAATGGTTCTCTGAAATGGCGCAGAAAGACACGCTGTTACATCTCTTTGCAGGGGGGTGAGTGAAATTACTTTTAACGTTGTGTTTTTATGAAACCGCGCATAACCGTTGCTAGATATGAGGTCAACAGCCTTAAAAGCACGGCAGTGACTTGTACACACATAGTTACCAGACATAACGCAATTTTATGACCATTTTTTCTGTTATTTATATCTCCCCTCTGATACTCCGAAGATGTGTTTAAATGATGACAGTTCCTGTTAGCCTCTTAGCTAACGTTAGCGGTGAAACTAGCCAGCGCAGCATCGAGTCACGCGACACCCACGTTTTAAATAATACGCAAAAAGATTTGCAACTTAATTCACATTTAAACACAATTTCTTAATAAGTATTTTAGTAAGTGATGTAAATTGTGACTGGGTTGTATAAATATATTTCGGTCTAAGCTGTCAGACACTGAACCGTGACGCGTTATGTAATCATAGCACGAGAAGAGACGCGTCTCTCGCGAGCTCTTCATGGACATTACCGTCGCACGTTTTAACCAAGTGTGCCGCAAGCCTGCGTTTGAGTGAAGGTCTCGGCCGTTAGATCGCCCCCTGGGGGCTGGCTGCAGTACAAGTCATAAAGCCCGCCTCCTCCGTGTTAATGAAGGAGACTTGAGCCCAAATAAAAAAATTAATTACACTTGCAATAAAATGTCCCGAAAGATGGTTCTGGTCGATTAAGGCACTGATTATTGTGCTGAAATAGGTGCAGATCCTCATTTTTGTAAACAGTTTGTTTTTAGCAGTAATTTAATGCTGGGCGTGTCATCGTGATTGACAGCTGTGATTGATAGTTTCTCAAAGCGCGGCGTCTGAGCTTCGGCAGAAGACTGAAGTGTTATTACTCGATTTCTGTGATATTTTACTATGACAAAATGAGTTCAGCAGTAAACTACAGTTTCTGACATACATGATCTGGTGGAACACTGTTTATTCGCTAAGGTCAGAGCTTTTTTCGGGCTTTATTAGTTTGCTAATACACGCCTAGCCACCCAGATAGCAAAATACACTGGGGCCAGTTCTTGCCTGCCGGAGACTTACCCCTCAGACTGACTACCTCTGCTGGACCTACTCCGGATGCCTGGACTTACTGCCCGATTCCAGCCTGAGTCAATTGAGCCAGATGCGGCGGCCGAGCGAGCAGGCGCTGCCGCATGCGAGCCGGAATCAGCCCGCGACGCCGCGACTAGGTTATGCGCTGATGCCCGGAGCTGGCGCGATTGAATCTTCATTATATAAAACCCTCACATTTGTTAACGTTATTACACCCATTTTTGTTGATATAACAACAAACGCATGCTACTATGTGAACGCAAAGTGTATCACTGAGTTTAACCTTTGAATAAAGATGCAAACAGCATAGCAATTATTTAAATAAAGGACAAAATAAATAACAATAAACCTGTATCGATTGCACAAGTATTAAATAATAATAATAATAAATACGAAAATGACAATAAAACTGCACAATAAAATAAACCCATTTAAGTACGGGGTATACAGGAGATCGTTAGCAGTAATTCTCTTTGTGTTTAAATATTAATCTCCACGTTGATCTCCTGTAAGGTTATTTGAACTTGCTTTATAGGACGTCTCTGCATTTTAAGTTTTGGCATGTTATTAAGTGATCTACTGAATTTGCTGTTATAAATCATTGTAACGTTCTTGAAATCGAATCTTATATAACCTAATAGAGCTGTAAATGTTAGATATTATTTATTTACATCATTTACTGTTGGCGTTTTATTTGAACACTCCAGCTAACATTAAAAAGAATGTAAATTCCTCGTTGCCAGATATAATGAAGGCATCGAATAAACCAAATGAAAACGGAGGCAAAAAAATTTAATAAATAAACAATTCAAGCGAAAATGAATAAACAATATACTAGTGATGTTACAGCAGATAGACGTTGTATTAATAGTGCAAAGTTTTTTTGCACAAATTGACAAATTGCAGGGTTGGGATGTGTAAATATCCTGTTGATATTTAGTAATCTTGCTGTATTTATCTTCTAAACGCACGATTGTTCCCGCATGGTAAATCGTTATGGTGTGTAGGCTATATTTTGGGTTCTGTTGATGGCTAATTAAAAATAAAAACCTTTCTAAAAATGTATGTGTTGTTTATATGTTATTGTTCATATTTTACAAGTGTTATTTCTACCCCTATGAAGATAACAAATACCAACAACAAATATAACAATAAGAGAATATATTATTTGTTCTCATATTCAGGCTAGAGTGTATAAAAGATCGTTTATTTCTGCAGTCCACCATGTATTGCTTTTATTAAAGTTTAACAGCTTACATCACACCGTTTTTAAACCGTATATTATTGTGTTTTTTTAATGTAAGTGCTTCTATTTACATCAGTGAGCGTTTGTTATAGTGCAGACACCGGCAGTCGAGTGAGAAGTTCGGGGGGCGTGGTTGATTTTACATAAAGCGTTTGGTTGGAAGCTCGACTCCGCTCATTATCGCGGCTCCTCCTCTGGCTCCATCAGACAGTCCTTCTGCGCATGTCTGGCTCCAATTTCAGCAGTCTTTTGCGACAGTTTGTGCCCGTCAAGCAGGCGTTTTGCCCTCAAGGCGTTCAATGGCAAAAGGGGCTGTCGCGTCGTCCATATTTTTTACAGTCATTGGTTTTAACAGCAGCAGTACATGTGCACTTGAAGTGTACATTTACTTAATCGTCTCTGCATAGATGTTTAGTTTCAGCAGTCTTTGAATATGTAAAATAAAACCGCCTTGATTTACATACAGTCATTCAAGGTCATTCCGCGGTTTTTTATGTCCTGCTAAATTATTATTTATGCTTATCCATGTTTCTGCTGCTATACAAAATATGTTATATGGATAATTTAATATATTTCTTTGTCACAATTTATTATTGGAATGAAAATGAGTGCCCGTGTTTTGTGCGCTCTTAAATGAATTGCATTTGCGCAGGCATTTCAATGCCATGGTTATTGTGACTGGCGAAATGCTTGGCTCTTTCAAGGGCTCATAGATTTGTGCCCTTGTCAGGCATGTGCACTACAGAGTCAAGAATGTTGGTAAATGACCTATGACATTAAAAATGTCAAATTGTTTGCAGGCTAATTGTGTCAGGCATAGCCATTTGTTTCAAAATTCTCGTCATGTAATGCAGAAAAGTAATTGCCAAAGGGTTTGTAAGTAATTAATGATGCCAAACACATAATATTATGATATCTTTAGAAAATCTATAATAAATATACACTTTTCATTGTGTACTGTCTGGGAAGCATAAGTGTTGTATTGCAATTGAATAAATCTATTCTTAATTTGATTATTTAAAGGGTTTAAGGGACCACCTATTAATCTTTGGGCTAATTTCTATATAAAATTTTAAACATGTTGAGTCTTTTTTTCCTTCAATTTTCTTAAGATTAGACTATAATAGAAGGTATATTAATATTAAAATATTATAATTGGAAGTATGTCGAGTCTTTGTTTTTTCTTAAAAATTTATAATATAATAGAACATTTTTAAAGAACTTGTTTTTGTATTGAAAGTAATAAATACAGCAGTTTTGCAGAATAGCATAAGTGTGATATTAGAGATAATATTGCTCTTTATTAAATTATAATTTCTTAAATTGAACTGAATTTCAAGTTATGGCAGTATAATTTTCAAATAGTTTCAAAATGAATTGTACATTGTACGTTGTATATATTTTTCTCATAAAATCATTTGATTTAATGTGGGTTTAAATGTATTGTGTTGTTATTATCCAAATAAAAATTAGTTAATAAATAGATTATAAAATAAAGACAAGTACAATATTCTAAACTCGGGATCTTTGCACAAAGGTAGAAAATGTATTTAAAATATGTAATAATCTCTAGTTTAAACATTTACTTTCCTCTCCCTTCCCAATTTTTTAATGTATTCCTGAGCAGGGTTTTCCATGAAAAAAAAGAGAAAAACAACATCAAACATTTGCATAATATATATAACTAAAGTTATACGTTAATAATTGCATTGCCATTTAGTTAACTATCTGACAGAGTTTTGGGCAAAATAGCGCATTAGTTAGATTCAGGTGACTTGCTTTGAAGGTCAAAGACATTGGCATATTTGTTTTATTCAAACATTGATGGCACAATATGGGCATTATGTAATCATGCCCCAAAGCTTTGTGAGCCAGCAACAATACACTCTTCCATAAAACATTGCACTGTGTTCTGCAATATGGATCACTTTATTAGCAGGAGAGCATTGTAGAGCAAGTCAAGAGGAGTCTTGCATCAGTGTTTGGGCTTAAGGCTGAGGACGCCTGCCCTTGTAACTGAATGTGCTCCTCAGACAGATTTTGATTAATCTGTTCCTCATTCACTGTGCTGAGGTCAGAAGCACTGTGCTTTTCTTGTCTTTCGCTTTACCAGTAGTTTGACGTCTGCGTCAACATGTTGTGATTTCTTTGAAACATGATCTGTGATTTTTATTTTTATTATTATTTTTTTTGGCTTTCCTTAATTTATTTGAAATTAACAAAACACACACCAGGTGACCACATTCATTCTTATGTATGTTTGACTTTAAACTGGCTCTCTGCTGTACTGCATTTTACCCGCTTTCACAGATGTGTAGTATTTTTTTTTTTACATACGTTTCTTTGCTGGTGTAATATAGGTTATAGTGCAAATGCTTGTTTTATTTAGTGATTTGAATCATGATCAATGTTACCTGCGTCATATTGTGTCATTTTGATGAAGTTAAGTTTGCTTTCCTTGACCTCGCTCTAATACTCTTGACTCTTTCAACAGCCAGGCTGGTGGTCAGCAAGCATTGCTGACGCACGCATTTATATTTGCGACTAAAGTTTAGTTTGAATTGGATTTTAGTATCACCACAAACAGCAAATGTAACATCAGCCAAATCTAATCTGAAGGTCCTCAACCTTTTCTTAGTTTTTTTTGGTCCATAGCTCACTTTTTAGGTTACATAAATCTTTTAACAGAATTATTTTATTGTACTATTATTAGTATTTTGGTGTAAAGCTGAATCAATACACATCTTCAAAAAAAATACTTTAATATTTTTAATCTTTCAATGTCAGACAAATTACGACAAAAAAAAACATTCAAACTCAAAGGTTATTATCATATTTTCAGTTTTTTTTTTTCAACTTTCCATGCTTTAAAGAGTAAAGAGTAAAAAGTTATTTAATCTGAGTAAAAAAAAAATTTATTCAGATGAAATAATTCACCAAATGTAGGTGTCTGGGCAGCTGTTAACATAGTATAAGCATTACATGTTTCTTATTGTATAAGAAATAATATTTACATTTCTATTTAAAAACATACATTTTATGTACTCGCTATACTATTCAAAAAGCTTACATGGGTAAGGTTTGTTTCCTCTTCTGCTTGCAAAGGCTGCAGTTAAGTAACACTGTAATAACTAAATATTAATATAATTAAAAGTGAACATTTCTATGCAAGTACTTATAATGTAGCTTATTCATATGATGATTAGTCAACATTCCAGTCTTCTGTATCACGTGATTCCTCAGAATAATTTTTAAAGAGTTTGTTTACCCAAAAATGATAATTCTGTTATTGATTACTCGCCCTCATGTCTTTCCAATCTCCTGAGACGTTCATTCACCTTTGTAACACAAAGTAAGATATTTTAGATTAAATTCGAGCTCTCCCTGGGAGATCTCACTAGTTCCGAGACGTTCAAAGTCCAGAAAATGAACTAAAAACATTAAAGATTTAAACATTAAAATTAAAAATCTTTTACGGTTTTGTTTTTTTTTTTTGGACAGGTTTTTTTAGGCGCTTCATATGATTACAGTGGAGACACTGAAGTGTCACAGTGTATTGTTTTTGTTTATTTTCTGGGTTTAGAATGTCTCATTCAACTGTTACTGTCTGTAGAGGATGAGGGAGCTCTTTGATTTCATCCAAAATAACTTGTATTCTGAACATGAACAAAGACCTCAGGAGATTAAAATGACACAAGGCTGAGTAATTAATCACATAATTGTCATTTTACGGTAAACTAATCTTTTAGTATTTGGTTCTTAAGACAAGAAATGTATTAATACCAGTGTTGAAAACAGTGCTGCTTGTTTAATTGTAATTTGTAACATTATAAATACATTCAACCTTGTTAAAGTATCAATTCCTTTCAAAATCCTGTATTCACTACGTAATTTTTTTGTTTACAGATGTGGTGGAACAGTAGGTGCCATCATGACATGCCCCCTCGAGGTGTTAAAAACTAGGCTTCAGTCATCTGGCCTCACTCTCAGGCCGGTTTTCCAGGTTCAGCTGGGCACACTCAATGGTGCTGGTGTCATTAGACCGGGATCCGTCACTCCTGGTTTACTACAGGTGTTACGGTAAGCAAGACAGGACAAACATTACTACGAAATGATCCACCCTGAACATGAAAAAAGTCTGCACAAAACCAGAAGTTGATTTAGTTGCTGAGGCTTTTATTTTAGCATGTTGATATGCTTCCAACTGAGACAGAAGATTAAGTAGGCTGCATGGCTTACCTTTGTGCATCTTTCTCTCATAACAAGCTAAAACTAATAGAGGTGGATTTGATATACACTTGCTTGTTAAGTCGTGACGTTTGAAATACGGTTTTCAGGTCCAAGCCGCTACTCATTTGAATTTTTAGAAAATATTTGTTTATAGCCACTCTTTAGTCATATCACACATTAAAGTGAATTTTATATCAAATCATGGTGTAAATCATGTGTCTTGGGACTTGCTGCATCACAGACACCAATATTTTAACAATTTTTAAAACATTTATCATGTGTTTGTGTGTGTGTATAATATATATAATATATTATAAAATATATAATAAATATATATATATATATATATATATATATATATATATATATATATATATATATATATATATATATATATATATATATTACAATCAGGATTTTCGAAAGTATTACGTCACTTAGTAAATGTTTATTATCACCATCTATTGAGTCTCGCCATACAGTTTGATATAGCGATTGGACCTGAAAGCCGATCAAGTGATGTCACACTTAACCTGCAGAGAATGAAAGCCCTCAGGTTGAGGTTAACAGAATAACGGTCACTCTGGAAGCAGAAGCAAATGATCAGACTACAATAGAAAATGAAAATGTGTTGTTACAGCCAAAAGCATTCTGGATAGTTAGAACATGTGATACCAAAGAGCTCTATTGATTTATTGTAAAATAGTATGTATTCTGTTTGGGCCTAAGTGATGCAATCATATATGGAAATGTTTTCCGGTGTTTGCTCATTGATAACCTGTCAGTTACACATGAGGTGATTCTTTTATTTGATTCGCTCAATCTACATCCATTCTCTGCTGCTTTAGTTATGAAATGCATATTTTCAGCTTCTCATTAAGATATCTACACATTAGTCCATTCTATTTTAAGTGTTTGTAAAATGTATATGGCTATAAAACGGTCAGCTGATGTGTTGATTTGCATTGGTTTGCATTGTGCACTTCTGTGATTGTTTATACACATGGCGAAATGCAATTTGTTAAGACTTAAACTTCCCTTTCTCTATAGAAGATTATCAAAATAATCATATTTTACAGTGGATTAACTTGCACAAATTCATTTTAAATATAAGAATGTGAGCTAGCAAAATATGCATAGTGAACTTAGATTTCATGCAGACTTTAAAGTGGCAACAAATTGCATCTGAGCTCTTTAATCTGAATACATTCACCATCTGGTTTTGATCTTCTTCATGAAAGCTGATTAAAGCATCTCTTATCCTGCTGTTGATTATGACGATGACGGGGAAGCTTTGTGCTGCCATTAGCAGGCAGTGTTATGTAAAGGCAAAGGAGTTCATACTGTAAGTGTTAATGTCTATTTTGGGTAGACGGAGACAGCGTTGCACAGTCATATGATGCCTTCTTGCTGTGCTCGGGTTACTAGCCTCACGGAAAGTGTCCCTGAAGTAAGCAACTGTGAGGGAGTGTTCAGGTCTACGTGACATTCAGACCTCAAGAGGCATTTCAATTAAGGACAGTTTGGCTTATACCTTTGTAAAATAAAGGACATTTTCACTATTGTAGCCGTAACATCTCTATAAAACGGATATATTTGTCTTCTTTATTTATAATGTTAGGATTGTTATCAGAACAAACTTTTACAGATGGGTTTATAGACAAGTGTTGGGTGTAATCAGTTACAAAATAACTAGTTATGCAATATAATGATTTATCTGCTAAAAGAAAGAAATGGATCACTGTTCACTTTTACTAATAATGCAATTGTTTGACTGAAATTGATTCATTAAAGAGTTTTTGTGATACAAATCTAGTTTGCAGAATAAATCATTCTACTTTTTAGCTAAAGGTTACATTCATCACAATGACTGAACATGCTTAATTCAGTTTAATTTCTATTTTCAATTCAAATCTTTATTTCTATAGTGCTTTTACAATGTAGATTGTATTAAATCAGCTTAACATAGAAGTTCTAGTCAACTGAAATTGTGTCAAGTTTTCAGAGTTGGACTTCAGTTTAGTTCAGTGTGCTTTAGTTTCACTTCTGAAAGCCCAAAAACTGAAGAACAAATCCATCAATGCAGAGCGCAAGTCCCAAACCAGGCAAGCCAGTGGCGAGGAACAAACTTCACCAATTGACAAAAGTGAAGGGGAAAAAAACCTAGAGAGAAACCAGGCTCAGCTGGGCATGACCACTTTTTCCTTTAGCCAAATGTCTTATGAAGAGCAGCAGTTAAGAAACAATGAATTGAGTCAAATGATTTTACAACAAATTCAGAGGAAAGTCATTTGTATTGTTCAGATATTTTGCAGAGTAATTCTGTTTCCGTTTATCTAAAGTTGAGTAAACAATGAATTGAGTAGGTAATTAGTGACAATATATTGATTTTATTAAATATGTTATTGCTTTGTTTTAATACATATAATGTTTAACTTTTTTGCAGTAATTCTGATTGTAAACTAAATGATGTCATGTTTGTTATTAAATGATTTAATTATTTTTTATTAAAGCCAAAATAACTAAAAAGATTGTCTTTTCACTGAAATGTATAATGATTTTAAGTATAGTGTATTGAGTCAAGTTAATCAAATTCCTTAAATTACTGTACCTTTCAGAAATAGTATTTTAAATGCATAGTAATTGATGTAATTAGTAAATAATACCTTTACGTACCTTATCTAAACACTGTTATAGATTTTCTGAAAGTACATTTTACATTTTTTATGTTAAGTTTTGTTTATTTATTTTGTTGTTGTTGTTGTTAATAATAATTTGATCTTTTTAAAGTTGATTTATTGAAATTGTTTTTAGTGCATTCTATTTGTTAAATTGTGTTTAATTAAATTATGTTTAACTAAATGTTAAATGATGTATATTTGGCATGTTATAGGCCATGAAGCTGGTATGGCAATAAAAAAAAAAAAAAATTTCTTGAGGAAGCATTTGTGTAAATGTCGACCAGTGTTTCAGTGTGTTTTCCCTTCAGGAAGTAGTATGTTACCAATCAGTGCTGACAAAAGAGGATTTCACGAAGTAATCTGATCTGCTATTGTCCATATTCAATGTTTAGAATGTGCAAGAGTCATATAGGTGAATCATGAAGGAAGTGAATATGTGAAGAACTGTGTCACTGGTTTTCTGGAAATTGCATAATTGAGAACAGGCTGAGAAACTGGATTGTGAACTGGTCTCATACGGGCAGATTTAAATGATAAGCCCATCTAATTTTCACCTCTCTTTCCTCATCAGGTCAATTCTAGAAAAAGAGGGACCAAGGTCTTTATTCAGAGGGTTGGGTCCAAATCTCGTTGGTGTTGCACCTTCAAGGTAATGTTTCAGTGCAAAACAAGGTTAAGAATTTAATCAATAAAATATATCAGTATATCAAAGCTATAAAGTATTTTTTATTTTTAAATGGCACATAGAGGTATTAATGGAAAGCTTTGGGAAAAAGAAAGAGCGACTTTAATACAACATATAACTTATATGTTACAGTCCTACTTTATGACGTTTAGGATGCTCTATATATAATTTTATTATATATTTCTTTTTTACACTTATGCCATTTTTGGTGATGTTTTTAAGATGGATGTCTGTATAGTTTATATTTATTTAAGTATATAAAGTTACACAAAGTACACACAATTAAAATGAGTAGTTTTCTTGGCAGTTAGCTGTTATAATGTTTATTTTAATTAACGGTAATTAATTTAAAAATGTTAATTAACAGTTTTGTTTAGTTTAATTTTAGTTAACGAGAACTGTACTGAATACTGCACTGTTAATTATACTGCTAGAAGTAAAAATGTAATATTAATAAATGTAAAAATATGTATAATATTATTAAAACAATATCCGTAATCCATTGCTTTTATCTTGAACTTTGAATTGAATTGTGAAATAGAAACGAAATAGAGAGACAAATGTGACAAAAGATTCATTTTAATAAATCATCATCATCATCATCATTTTTATTATTATTTAGTAGTTTTTTTCCTCATGAACACAAGTCCTACATTTCCCATTCTAAATTACATTTAAAGCACTTCTTAGTTCAGAGCAGGCTTGAAGCGTTTTGACTCTTGAATGCTGCAGTTATTGTTTAGTCATTGTGTCCTGCATGGCAGTAGATGCGGGTGCTTATTCAGCTCTTTGTGTCGCCTGTTCCAGACATTCAGCAAAGAGAGCTCTCTGCACTGTCAGGAACTCTCACTGCAAGCTGTTCGGCTTGATAAAACATTGGCAGCCTTTCAGCACAAATGGCTCTTTTACATCAAAATGAACTCTGCACTGTCATGCGTGGACAGAGGAAGCAGGGGGTGTTGAGTTCAACATAACGGAGGCGCTAATGTACTGTTCTCTCTCTGTTCTTCTGCAGGGCAATTTATTTCGCAGCTTATTCAAAGTCAAAAGAAACTTTCAATGGCATCTTTGTGCCTAACAGCGGAGTCGTCCACATGTCCTCAGCAGGCTTTGCAGGTGAGAACTTGTTAAAGAGATCCAAAAAGAAGATTACCTAACATATAACAAACCATACAATATGAGGGTCACTTGTTATTCAGCAGAACATTACTGAAGATTTTTAGCTTAAATAAAGGATCAATGGCAACCAACACTTTGAGAGTTAAAAAAACACATACTGTGGCTCTTGATGATACACTGAGGTCATTGGTTTATGTGTAAGGTTTTAAACATTGACAACAAAATTTCCTTTAATCCGCTGCTCTGGCAAATGTTCTTATTAGTGCTGCATTTTGTGACTAAAACCAGTTCTGAAATCAGCTGTAAATCTCCAGTGCTTTCGGCAGAAGCAGGCTCATGTGTTTTTGATGAAGCAGAGTGTTCTACACCATTTGAGAGAGATTTTATTGACAAGCTACACTAAAATTGTATACGGTTTAATTGACTCAATTCTGAAATCAAAGATAATTATTCTGTGATTTGCCAGCTGTGTTCATAGCTTCTCAGTAATCTACTGTTCTGTGTTGCTGCTATATGTGAAAGCATATGAAAATACCACAATTAAAACCTGTGTTTACTCTAGTCTGAAATGAATTTTTCTGGGGAGATGATTCTGTAGATGTGTGATTATTAGTCATGTTGAATTAATAAAAGCAGTTCAATTGGGTATATGCACAAATATGCCGAATTACTTTTTCATTTTTCAGTAACCTGAGTCAAACGCTTCCAGTGAACTGCACGCAGTTACAAAATCGACTGTTTTCTTTAAAAATCAATTAGCTTCATTGCCTGATTGATATATGATAGAAAGTGTGTCTCAGAATATTGAACATTTCAGCGCCATATCTTTAAAATATGAACATTTTTATTTTACCACAGTATTTTCACTGGAGTTTCTGCGCTAACCTGCTGATCCTGACGGATGCGTGCGTGTAAACAGCTTTTCATCTCATTTTACGCTTTAACAACAAAATGAGCTCTGAAGTCTTTTTAAATTATTATATTTTAATTACATTACAACATCGATGGCATAAAAGGAGCCTTATAAAATTGAAAAAGTCACATTAACTGTTTATCGGTATGAGAAGAAACACTAGCTGTCTATATAGCCGATACTGTTTGGCTGTTTCTCTATTACAAGAACGCAGTGAAAGGTTGACAAGCGTTCTTGTGAAGACCAATCTTGCCAGGTTACCTCAGAAGAACAAACTCGGAAGACCAAGGGAACACAGAGAACGTGTCCTGTGAGAAATGAGATGTTGCGTTCTTCCTGAGGGTCACATGACCATTTTTAATTTAAAATTATATAAATATACACACACACAAATACAACGGCTGATTTTTCCCCGGAGTCCTAAAGTTTGATGTACTTGATACAATCATAAGTACTGTTTGCTGAGACTATCGTCAAAAAGGTTGTAATGACTTGTAAACAATGAGTTTGTTTTGCTCTGATTTTACTTTACAGGACCTCAGTGCACTGTCAGGAGCCACACTTATTCATTTTGTTTTACCATTATGATTTTTGACTGTTAAAGTGCAGGTGGTTGTTGATTTACAGTTGTATGAATCACCAAGGACCACAGTATGAAATAAAATCTTCTTTAATGTTTTACTAAAGGATAAAAAGTCACCTACATCTTGAGGGTGAGAGAATTAAAAGGACAGTTCAGCCAAAAACTAAAAAGTTTAAGTTTCTTTCTTTTGTTGAACACAAAAGAAGATATTTTGAAAAATGCTGGCACCCGTTCACTTCCATATTCAATTTTTTTCCTTCTCTGGACGTTGATGTTTACATTTTTCAAAATATCTTTTTTTGTGTGTGTGTTGAACAGAAGAAAAAAAAACTCCTAAAAGTGGGAGAAGAAATGGTGAGGTAGTTTTCATTTTTGGGGGAACTGTCTCTTTAACATGAAATTGAGATTTGTGGGTGATCTATCCTTTTAAGAAATATTTACGCAACATTGCTGATAGCGTTTCCCAGAACTTGGGACAAAAAATTGCAAGCAAATTCCTAAATTAAAGTGGATCCCTAATTGTGTTGTTTATCTTTTTTTTTCAGCTTTCATCACAAACTCCCTGATGAATCCCATCTGGATGGTCAAAACAAGAATGCAGCTAGAGAAGAAGTATGTTCTTTTTCCTGAATTTCACCTTGCTTTACTTTCAACAAGCAACTTGCATGAGGCACATGTCATATTTTCTGCATCACACAACTTGAATAGTGGCTATCTTCTGATATCATGAGAGGGTTGAGTTTTTGGACATTATCCCGTTAGCTCCTTCTCTCCGTTACACAATCATCATGACGATTTAGCATGTGATCTGGTCTGCTGCTGTCAAAATATCCACCTTGACGCACCAATCGAGGCTTAGGCGGCATGGTCTATATTTGACTTTAAAGGACAGCGGCAGTGGACTGCTAGGGTCAGATGAGAGAAGTATGTCAGATGGTACATTCTGAAAATAGGCTGTCATTTAATTCATCCTTCCATCTTACACGCAAACCTTGTGCAATACTAATGTAAGCCACATGTCTTGAGTATGTGAAGTGGCCTGAAGCACTCTGTAATTGCATCATAATAAGTACATTGCATTTATTGCTCATACTCATTTGTTAATCACTCATGGTGTTATTGCAAATGTTAGAAGCAGGATTGGTGGTATGGGTGGACTTAAAGGTATAATACACCCCAAAAAGTTCTAATTCTGTGATCATTCGCTCATTTATATGAGCTTTCTGTCCTCTTTTGAAAACAAAAGAAGGTATTTTGATGGATGTTAAAAAAACAGTAACCATCGACTCTCATAGTATTTGTTTTTTCTGCTATGAATGTCAATGGTTACCCATTTTCAACATTCTTCTAAACGTCTTGTTTTGGGTTTGTTTTGTTGAACACAAAAGAAGTTAATAAATGGTGACAGAATTAACATTTATGGGTGAACTATCCTTTTAAGGGTGGTGTAAGGTGTAACGAATGGGTCAACAATGTTATTATAAATGTAATTACTGAAGTTACTTACAAATCAAATTACATGCTGGTGTTTTTAAAACATAAGTACAATGTAAACCTATATATGTACATAATAAGTGCATTGTTTAAATGATCACCAAATCATTTAAATGTAATTACATAGTAATTAAAATGCTTTAACAAAGTTGAACTCAAGGTTTTAAAACCAGAACTGCTACCGCATAGTTAATCATATTAAATCCTTAACTGTAATTCATTTCTTCCTGATGACTGGACCTATCATCTCATTTTTTTTTTGCAGAGCACGTGGGGAGAAGAAAATGAATGCATTGCAATGCGCACGGTATGTGTACAAGACGGAGGGAATGAGAGGTTTCTACCGGGGCCTGACGGCATCGTACGCTGGGATCTCGGAGACCATGATCTGCTTCCTCATCTACGAGACGCTGAAGAAATACCTGGCGCAGAGTCGATTCACCACGCCTGACACGGACAATGATAAAGGGGCCTCAGATTTCCTGGGCCTCATGTTTGCTGCTGCATTTGCCAAGGGTTGCGCGTCCTGCATAGCTTATCCACATGGTAGGTTGTTATTACCTGTCAGGCAGAACAAACCAGTATCAACCGGTTTATGTCTAAAGATATACATGGATGGCTTCCGCTGTAGACAGAAGAATGCTGGTACTTTTAAGGGAGGGCACAGAGGGCATTAGAAATACAGTGAAATGACTGATAATTAAGGGCTAAAATTTTTTTAAAATATGTATTCAAAGCTTTGTTGCAAGATATTGAACTGCTAAACAAACTAGGTGGAGCTTTCAGGTCATATTATTTTTTTAAACAGTATATTAGCAAAAATATGTTTACATGTTCTGTTTATTTTCATTTATAATACTTATTTATTAAATTTATATTTATTTAAGGTTCTTTAGAATAATAACTTATGAGTTATTTATAAGTTGTAAATGATGTTTATATGTTTGCAACAAATTAAATTGTATGATATATTTATTGGTAACAGTGTGTTTTTTAGATATTATAATATCTAATATTATAATAGTATTATTATTATTATTATTATTAATATTATTATTATTATCATTATCATCATTATAATTTCATATGAATATGTTAACTATTTGACTACTCCCACATTTTTTCGACCATTAAAGTTTAAGAAATGAACTATGGTTTTCACAAAAAAAATTAAGAAGCAGGGAAAAAAATCTAAACCTATTTTCTGGATTTATGATTTTTAGTTTTCTGCAGAAACTTTTTTTTTTTTTTTTTTAATTTATTTATTTTTTTTATTCTGGTGACAGAATTTTATTTTTTTTGCCATATTGTATTTTAATATATTTTGTATCTTAATTTTCAGTTTGCACACATTGAAATACAGTACAACACTTTACATCCATTTTTTTACAACAATAACTTGCTGCATTTACAAATTATATAAGACTTAAACAAAAAACAAAACAAACATCAAAAAATAAAAATGCCCCTTTTTTGGTTAATGGTAATCTATTTAAAAGTGATCATTACTAATATTCTGAATACATTGTACAGCAAATATATAGATTACAGAGTATCACTTCAGAACTGTAAGACTGAAACTACATTGTCCACAAAAATTATTTATCAGATTCTTCCTCTGTTAATTTCACACAGATATATCTGATGAAAGGACTCCATATGTTTTCAAATACACGCTGTTTAGCTTTTAGTATGCAAGTTATTTTTTTCTAATGGCAGGCTTGACGACATCTGTCTCATCCATTGAGTAGTTTTTGGTCTTTGCGTTTTTGTCCATAGCAAAGCTACACATTTTTTGGCATAAAGCAAGCTGAGGACTATAAATACTTGTTCGCTGGGTATAAGCCCTGCCCAGCAAAAAAAAAAAAAAAAAAAGCTTTTGGTCGAGGAGGGTTTGTTTTGAAATTAATTTGTTTTAGAATTTTTGACTCCTATCTCTTCCCAAAATAATAAAATTTTTGTACAATTTTTTTTTTTTAAATAAATTGTCATTTGGAGAAATTTCTTTTTTAATATTACATTTTATTTTATTAAAATAAAATGTTAATTATTTTGTTGTTTTATCAAAATAAAATGTCTTTTATATTATTTATATTCATTTTATATTCATTTTTAGCAAATACAGTACCAATCCTTGAACTTCTGAGGAGTCAAAGTTTTTTTTTTATAGCTTTATATGAACTTCAACATGTACTAACTATAAACTAACAGTAGTGAAATAGTGCTTTTAATGCCATAATGAGAACTAACAAAGCTACTTTTTGAGAATTTAAATAACCGTGAAACATTTTCTTGCTCAGTTATCCTCACCATAATGATTTAGTGGAAAAAAGCCACCTTTCTCATTACCTTAATGAACAAAAAGCCCTTTTACATCTCTTCCTAACTTCCCAATTTCTCTTCCAGAGGTCATTCGGACAAGACTCAGAGAAGAAGGCAGCAAATACAAGTACTTCTTTCAGACGGCGCGTCTTGTGGCAGTAGAAGAGGGTTACGCTGCATTTTACAGGGGACTCATTCCACAGCTCATCAGACAGATCCCCAACACAGCTATAGTGCTGTCCACATACGAGCTGATCGTCCATCTGCTAGCCGAACCCTCCAAATAAAGCACAAAGACACTAAAACCTGCAGCTCGAGTGGACGTGAATGTTCATTAAAATCACCCAAAGACATTCAGTAGCTTTTTTTTTTTTAAAGAAGAAGAATGCCTGTTATCAGAACTGTTTTGCTCGTTGTGTGTTATGTAAATGGCGCATATCGCATAGCTGTTTATGTATGCTGTATCAGTGTACAGATAAAGGTCATCTGAATATACAAATAGTGCATTTAAGTTAACTAAATTATTGTTATTATGAGTAGCATTTTGTTTGCGGTCATTTGCAATTCTTTGGATCTATGAAGATGATATGGTACTTGCTGATGGAGTTTTGCGAGTTAATCATTAATGGATCCGGGTTTTATTATTATTATTATTATTATTATTTTCTTGGAAGGAAAGGAGATGATATTGAAATGGCTTTCTAGGCGCTCACGGTTATGTTGCAATATTTTGTAATACCTGTTTTGTGACACCTTGTAGCATTTGGGAGTCTGACCAATTAATTCTATTCACCTCTGCTAGAAACGTTTCATCCGTTTACTGTATATTTGGCTGTACAGAAAAGAAGGGCTTCAATGCGTATGCTGCTGTTGGTTTAATATAAATTATCATTTTTTTTCTTGTTGAAAATGCATAGTTTAAACAGAAATGAGCCACTTCAATAAATGCATCTTTTTCAAGTCTGTTGGGATTGATTTTCTGAGTGTTATCAAGACTGTGGGAATGAAGGAGTCAGGAATTCCTGCTGTTTACTTGAAGCAACACAAGGGTACAAAACAAGAACATGAACTTTGGCCCTGCGTCTTGTCTGTGTGTGCTACAAATGCTGAACACAGAAGTGAATCATTTGTAATGTTGAAGATAATGATCGAGTTATGTCAACAAGCGTGATGGTAACAACTAACTTGTGATTGTTGATAAAATATTCATATTTAGACATAGTAACTGAATGAAAAGAGCACACTTTTTTTTTTTTTTTTTTAAACAACAATGTGGTTTTCATCCAGGCCATGGCACACTGGACCAGCTCTATACCCTCACCAGGGTGCTCGAAGGTTTATGGGAGTATGCCCAATTAGTCCACATGTGTTTTGTGGACTTGGAGAAGGCATTCGACTGTGTCCTTTGTGTCATTCTGTGGAGGGTGCTCTGTTAAGGACAGTCTCGTCTCTGTATGAAAAGAGTAGGAGTTTGGTTTGCATTGCCGGCAATAAGTCAGACTTGTTTCCAGTGCATGCTGGACTCCTGCAGAGCTGCCCTTTGTCCACAATTCTGTTCATAATTTATATGGACGGAATTTTAAAGTGCTGCCTTGGGCTGGACGGGGTCTGGTTCCTGAACCACAGGATTTGATCTCTGTTTTTCGCAGATGACGTTGTTCTGTTGGCTTCATCGAACATGGACCTTCAGCATGCACTGGAGTGGTTTGCTGCTGAGTGTGACACAGCTGGAATACGAATCAGCACCTCCAAGTCTGAGGCCATGGTGCTCCTCCAGAAAAAAGGTTGTTCCAAGGACAAGATCTTGGATACAAGCGGCCGAAATTAGTTACTTTCGAACGGTGACAGGGCGTACCTTTATAGATGGGGTAAGGAGCTCTGTCACTCGAGAGGAGCTTTGTAGTATAGCTGCTGCTACTCCACTTCGAGAGAAGTAAGCTGAGATGGCTCGGGCATCTGTTTCGGTTACCTCCTGGACGCCTACCTAGGTAGGTGTTCCAGGCATGTCCCACTGGGAAGAGGCCTCAAGGAAGACCCAGGACATGCTGGATGGACTATGTCTCTTGACTGGCCTGGAAACGCATCAGGGTCCCCCCCCTAAATTCTCTCCTACTGCTATGCGACCCGACCCTGGAAAAGCAGACTAAAATGAATGAATGAATAAAAAAAAAAAAGGTTTTTTTAAAGATTAACCCTTGCACATCAAAATAAATTCTCTCATTTTAAAAATGCCAAAAACATAGTAATAATAATAATATATATAGACTGTCACTTTAATTTAAGGGGTATTTACGTCCAAATCACGTGAACGGTGTAGGAATTACAACAGTATGTGCCTCAAATACATTTTAAATAAATAAATATATATTTTTACTGATGTAGATTTCACCAGCTTCAGTTCAACTTTAAATGACCAAACAATCATTTATTTTAATTTCACGATTTTAGCGCTTTCAATGCTGGTTTCTTTAAAAAAATGAGAGTTGTTTTTTGTGTTAAAAAAAGAAAATTAGTAGTTGTTTTCAATGTACTACATGCTAAGCAAAAAGTTGTAGTTTTGCATGTGTTAATGTTTTTTTTTGTATTTAAAGGTCTAAACAAACTTAATTTTTGTTACACATTCAAATCACACTCTCATAGTTTTTTTTAATACTGTGATAACAGTAATGACATTTTGCAAAGAACTTTAGATCAACATTTTGTAAAGGACATCACATATTTCAATGCTAAGTAAACAAAGATGACATCATTTACTGTGTCCTACATTGTTGTGGGAGACAGATCCACCAATTTGAAGATAAGAGATGTACCAGAACTGACAACATTTTTATTTATTATTATTTTAATATTGTAGACACAGGGAAAATACATTTTTAAAAATTATTACGTAACAATACGCTAATTTAGACAAAAAAAAACAACAACAACAACATTCATATCTATATAACTTATATCATAGATACTAGGGATTGTAACATATGGACAAAGAAGAAAAGATAGAGTATAGCGAAGCAAATGGTTTAATCAGGTAAAAAAGAAAAAGGTGAGCAATTGTACTTGTAAATTGTTTTTTACTTTCAGATTTTTTAATGCTTTTGAAAAAAGTCTTGTCTCTTTTGAATGGCTGTGATGAGGGGTGTAACATATTTCAGAAATGATGGAGACTTGAAAAGGTATACTAGGACATTCTCTTCTCTACACATCAGGAAACAATTAAAAGTCATATAGTGAATCTGAACTGCCAAAAATGTCTCTCCTTGGAGACCTTATATAGCAGTACAGCAATAAAGTAGACTAAACATTTAATGTAATTTAGTTCCATATGGGTTTGAGTAACTTTTTAAACCTTTTACTTAATTAAAAAAAATGCAAATTAATCCCAGGTAACAATCATCTTTTTAAATCTGATTTGAAGGGCATATCTGTGAAAAATAGCCTAATTTTCGCAAGAAAATCAAAAGCTGTTTTAGACTTAGCTGTTTAATCTAAACTCTGACATATATTCTTATAATTTCCATCAGAACTGCCTTATTGAGCATTCAGAACTCTGTGCTTTTTATGGTGTACTGTGTACATAAACAAGGGTAAACGGACATCTTGTGGTGAAATAAAGGAATTACATTTTATTTGAATTATTTTTAACAGATAGCACTGTTATGTACATTTTGTATTTAAATGACGCAAGATAATCTCCAATCTTTTGTAAGCGTATTTGTAATTCACGAGCTGTTCAATCCCATCATCAACACAATAATAATAAACCAGAATAATTCCGTTAAAAATATTACATATATAAGTCTGTAGCAGTACAAAACATACCATAAAACTTGTTGAGAAAGCGTGTCTTTTATTAAAATATACTGATAAAATCTATAGTAATCGTTAACCATCATTCTGGACACTGCACACTCATCAAAAATGCCATGAGATAACATAAATAAGGCGAAGATACAAAATTTATGAAAGACCTATTATTATTATTATTATTATTATTATTATTATTATTATTATTATTATTATTATTATTATTATTATATCCAGAGTGGCTTCACATAGTCCGTCCAAGTAACTTTTATTTTGACAGGATCCCGATTCCGCGCTCGTGACCTGGAAATGACCATTGTAGATTGATGCGCGCGTCTGTTGCCGCATGCACTCCAGTTGCGTGTAGCTTCCTTTGAATAACACTACTGTCAAAATATCGATCTGCAATGGAGGCCTTGAACCAAATATTAATAGAGTATCCGCCGCTTGTAGTCGGTGGCGTGGGAGCGACCGCGGTTGCAGCAGGAGGAGCGCTGATCTACAGAATTGCAACCAGGTATTATTGTGTCCCTGCCCATAAGATGTCGCTGGGCCTCATATATCAGACATTGGTATCTAGTTAGGGCCGTAAACTAATTGGACTATTGTCTATACGAATCCTGATAATTGATTGTTTGAGCAGTTTTTTCATAGAACAGTCTTGTGGTGAAAAATATAACTAGGTGTTCACGAGCACAGATAGTGTTAAGCGCGCGATACAAATGCGCGTGATTCGTATCTTTGGTCCAAGAACAAAACAAAGCACAATGCACTGTTATCTTTATGGTTTCTAACACAAATGTGATGAATACAACAAAATATGATTGTTTTTAAAAAAGGATAAACAATGCTTTGCTTTTGTATTTATTCAGTTAACTTCATTTATAGCTCCTCCTTAAGTCTTTTATATCTATTTTTAAGCTATTCTAAATAATTGTTATCTTGAGTGTAAAATTTCTTACCATGGTAAGAGCAGTTTCCTCAGAAAAGACACTAGCATCAAACTGTCAGAAATCAGTCATGCATATAGTGCTAGCCTGAAAACAATAGTCGAACTATTATATTGATATGATACAAACTGTCTGCTCTGATGTGCAGTGAATTATATTTGGTCTGGTTTGTTCAAGAAATTAAATAATTGGTAAATAAGTGTTTCATTTCATTTGGCAGTGGTGTTGTATGATAGATGATTCATTTCCTGGATTCCTTTTTATTCAGATTTCTTTATAATAACAGGCATGTCATGACTTGATACTTCTTTCATATATTTTCAGCCTTCTTTTTAGCCAATGACTTAACTATTTGCAATTTACTGCATGCCTATTTATAAAAGCAAATGTTACCAGATTAATGCATATTAAGCCTGATAGCTGGCATATATGACAGAGATGTCTATTTAATGTTTTGTTTACATCTGGAAAGCATATTTGTTAGAACATTTGCTCATATGCAAAACATTGAATAGATGTCAATTTCAGACGTTAAGTGGACGTTTGGAGTCATTGAAATGTGGAATTATCATCAGTCAGCAGACCCTTTATTATGTTTTGCAGACCTTTGATGGTCTCTCCACACCACCACCAGTTAAATAGGGTTTAATGAAAATGAAAAAAAAAAAGATTTTGATATGTGGTTATATGATTCTTTTAAACATTGTTTCTCCTTATTTTAAATTATTAAATCAATTCTTTGGACCCCCTGGTTGGGAACCACTGATGTGTATTGTCAGGTTGAGTTTGTCAGTGTAATCAAGCCGTTGTCAAGTTAATCTAATTAATCAGTTTAGTTATTCAAATTCGGTTCATTCAAGCTCTATTCATGCTTTGCGTAATCAGTCTCAGATTTCAAGACTATCACTGTCCTGTTTGAAAAAGCTAATTTACTTTTTTTGCATTCAGTAGATTAGCTTTAAGGCCCCGTTTACACTAATACGATTTAGTTTTTAATACGTATAAGTTTTGCTATGGTTACGCCATCTGTCATCACTACGCCGGAGTTTTCGAGTGCTGAAAACGGAGCATTTTTAAAAAGCTGAAAAGGCCATTTTTATTTTAAAACGCTGCTGCTCCGTCTCAGTGTGGATGATGAAAAATGGAGACATCTGAAAATGTAGGCATGGCTGCTGACATTCGATTGGGGCTTTTTCTCAATATGAATTAGCCTACACAAAATTCAGTCTTGCATCTCTTCTTTAAACAAACTCCCGAGAACACAACGGGTAAATCTTCAAAGGGAACAGTGTAGGCTACTTTATAAAGTCATTTACCTTACGCTGGCTACTTTATTTCACTTTCTTTACAATAAAATGATATGTAACGTAATATAAGGAACTGCTTGTTTTGATTTTGATATTAGCAACTTAACAGACATTAAAAATGTTAAAGCATTTTGTATTTATTTATTTATATGACTGTCATCTTTACTGTATCCATATTTATAACAAACGGAGCCTATAATATTACTGCCTGAAAAATACAAACCATAACCTGTCTCTTTTGCTGAATATCAGTTTTAATAATCAATAATGGGTTTTATGAAAGTATAACGTACAATAAGTTTATACAAAATAGACAAACAATCTGTCAAATAAACAGAATCAGAGAGATGAAACGCCAGTGTGGACGCAGATCATTTTCAATCTAAAACACTGCTTTCAAACTAAAATGTATTAGTGTAAACAGGGCCTAAATTTCAGGCTTTATGTTGTTTTTCACCGAATGTTTCTTGAAAATGTATGCATTTTAAAGAGGACTCTTGCGGTACGATTTGATTTTTTTCATTTGTGTATTTTGATATTTTTCTGAAAAAAATGTTTTTATGCGATGATTGATCGTGTTTTAAAAACTTTTTAAGTTTTGGCTTCTGCAGCAGTTTTACCTTTACTCTTTTCTACAGGAAGAAACCGACTCATCTTCAAGTGAATTGTTGGTTCTGCAATCAGGACACAGTTGTCCCCTATGGGAACAGAAACTGCTGGGATTGTCCATATTGTGAACAGTATAATGGCTTTCAGGAGGTATTGACTTTATGCAGATATCTTTATTCAATTTAAAGTTAGTCCTGTCATAATATCTTTTCTTTTTTTTTTGTACAATATATTGCAGTAAATATATTGTGATAAACAATATTATTGTCATTTTAATACTATTTTATGCCACTCATATATAATGCCAGAATGACAGTATAATGTCATCTCAATGCAAGACAAGTACACTCTTCCAAAGAACACATCATATTTCATTCCTAAGAATATTTAATTTATTTATAGTCATTTTAACAATTAGACATTTGAATCAGAATGTGAAAACACATATCCTAAATAAATAATAATAAATCTTTAAAAAAAAAGTGCAAGGTAAAATTAACAGAGGCTGCGATATCTGCTACCAGAACTATTGTCAGTTGTCAGACACCCACATGAAAATATACTATAGTATTTTATAGTAAATACTATGACAAATACTTACACTGACACCTCCATTAGAGATAGAGATGTTGCGCTATTAGCTAAAATGTTGCTAGAATTGGTTTTTATGTATGGACGATATATATTGCATCACCAGAAATGATTGAGGTCATGTTCATGTGTTGTGTGATAAGTCGATATATTGATTATCATGAAAGGCCTATGTAAAGTTTATGTAAGTGAAAATCTATTAATTTAGTTTTTATATGTTTCCTTAGATTGGAATATGTCTGGATACATTTTTTTTATAATAAAAAAGGAATGTTTCCCATGATTTACAAACGACCTTGACTGTCGTTTTATGCATTTAATGAATGTCGTTTAGACCTTCATTAAATGCACATTTATTTACTTTATTAAGCAACCAAATCCTTTTTTCTCACTTGTTTTGGATCTTCAGAATGGGGACTACAACAAACCCATTCCTGCTCAGTACATGGAGCATCTGAATCATGGTGTTTCCGCCGGCGTCCCCGAGACCCCCAAGACCCTGCAGTGGGTCAACTGTCAGATGCTTTTGTGCAAGAAGTGCAACAACAACCAGACGCTGAAGATCAAGCAGCTGGCCTCGTTCATCCCCAGGGAGGATGTAGGTTTATAACTGAAGTTTATCTCTTCATTTTAAGGCAATCAGTGTTTCAGAATTAAATGAGCCTTTTATGATTTACTAGAATGATGGAAAAAGGGTACGTTTAAACCTAAATAAAAATATCTCTCATTAACTGATTACTTCCGTTTAGAAACACAAATGAAGATATTTAAATGTACTTAAAAAGAGAAGAACTAATAAATACTTGATTGCTGCCTTCTATATAAAATGATTTAATTGATACAGTGAAGCCTAAACATCAAGTCTAAATTAAATGTTTATTTTGTGTCTCTTCCCATGAATTTACATGGATTAATTTTTTATACTTTTTGTATGAAGTGGATTAAGTAAAGAGACAGAAATCTCTCAGATTTGGTTAAAACATTTTGATTTGCGTTCTGAAGACAAATTAAAAATGTACACGGTTAAAAAAAATTATTGCTGCCTTCAATTTTTTTTTTGTTGAATCTAATGAACTTTTCTAGTGATCTCAACTTGGATCAATTAAACTGACTAAAAATATTAAGTTACTTAAAATTTTAGTTGAAACCTAATTAACATAGTTTTAGAAAGAGATGAGGGTGAGCAATGACACCAGTGTACCCTGAAAGTAGAGGAAAACAATACAATTTTTAGCAAAATCAGGCCAAAATAAAGTCCATTTCTGAAGTTGAAAACTGCTTGAACTACATTCAAAAGCGACTTTTGCTGCTTGTTCAAACTATATATTTAAAATGAGTTGAAACAACACGATTCTTACGTTTTTTGGGGGACAACTGAATTCTTCATTCCACTTTAATTTCTAAAAATAACCAAGTTAACTTAATCAATTTGTGTTCAACATGAAGAATTGTGTGGTTCTCGCGTGTTTCAAACTTGAAAAATCAAAGTTTACTGAGGCCTAATATGGTGAGAGAATTTTTATTTTGGTGATGAACGAACCATTTAATTATGTTCTTCAATGGGCATCTGTTACATACCCTAAAATAATATTAATTTGGATAAAAAAAAGGCTTTTGGATTTACTTTATTTTATAATGTGAAAAGCATCATCTCAAAAACAAGTAACTTGCACACTGAGAGAAAAATTGATTGCAATGTGTGTAACATGCTGGCAGGAAAACTACGATGAGGAGATTGAAGTTTATAAGCACCACCTCGAACAGACCTACAAGTTGTGCCGACCATGCCAGACAGCAGTGGAGTACTACATCAAACACCAGAACCGGCAGCTGCGGGCGCTGCTCTTCAACCACCAGCTCAGACGCACTCGGGACGCAGATAAAGCCTTCATTAAGGTGCTCATCTCTATATTTACCGTTTCAAATCAAGCCAAAAACTTGTCATGAAAAATACAAAAGACTGCTCTTTTATGACATGATAAGACAGAACTGCGTGGTAAAATATTAATCAAAAGATTTCTATTTTAATTTAAACACCCATGTTCTTAAATCTAAATGGTCAGTATGTTTATTAAACCTTTGACGGTCACAGCTGGTACATTCAATTCTATGGCATAGAGAGAGCAGTTTTCATTTATGATTATGAAACGGCTTCTCAGCCCATGCACACCAGATTTTTCACTCATGCTTATCACCAATGTTTAAAAAGATAGTTCCCCCAAAATGAAAATGTAAATACTGTATACTTGCCTTCAAGTGGTTCCAAACCTTTATGAGTTTCTTTATCGTGTTGAACTCTAAAGAATATGTTGAAGAAAGCTGAAAAACTTTAACCATTGGCATATGGTTTCCAGCTTTCTTCATCATATCTTCCTTTTTGTTCAACAGAAGAAATAAAGTCAAACGGGTTTGTGGCTAGTGAAGGGTGAGTAAACGATGAGAAAATGTATAGTTTTTGATGAACTATTCTTTTAACAGCTCATGACTAAACAATGCCCGCCAATGTGAGCCAGCACAAAAGCCAGGTGTAAATGCATCATTCAAATTTGTATTATTTTTATTTTTTGGTTTGTTTTGACGTGATGCATTACAAACTGCCAGAGCAATGAGATTGGTACCTTAGTTCTTATTCCTTGAGCTGCCGAAGTTACAGAGAATATACACAGCTTGGTGGCACTCAAGCATACAACTGTCTAGCCGAGCACATTAAATAGGATTCATTGGTGAGTTTCATTTCACTGAAAATATCCCTTCATGGCTTTTAACTTTTGTCCTGCAAACAGTTGCCCAGGGTTTTTTTTTTTTTTTTGAGGTGGTTTAAATAATGTAGAAAAGCTTTGTTATTAAATGAGGGAAAAGCATGAAGGTGATGACTTCTGTGCAACAAGCAACTATCAGAAGAGTAAAATTGCACAGCGCTATCTTGTGTACCGGGGGTATTTTTGCATCTAATGTCAGGGAGTGATTTTGCATGTTTGCTCTGCTCAATACCAGTCATTTGAGCATGAATGCAGAACAATGTCTCAAAAAATGCTGACGATAAGCTGAAGCGAAAACAGTCCTGGGGCCTCATGTACGAAGACTTGCGTGGAAATCTTACTAAAACATTGCGTACGCACAAAGCTGTAAATGTGCGTACGCAGAAAAAAATTCAGATGTATGAAACACTGCGTACGCCGAATCTCACGCATATTCTTTTGTACATCCGAATGAACGTGAAACTGAGCGCAACATGCATGAGCGCAAAACCCCTCCCTGCCTCCTCCCCCGTATGAATATGCTAATGACTATGCTAATGGCAAAACCCAACGAAAAAGCAATGGCAAAATCAAGCAAGAAGAGAAACTTTGAACAGAATGTGAAATGGAGGTGCTGCTTTCGGAGGTAGACAGGAGAAAAGCGGTGTTATTTGCAAGTTTGTTCTCCGGAATTAACAACAAAAGAAAAAAAATAGAGTTGGAGAGTTTAGCTGATGCGGTTAACACAGGGTCTGAACATCGCACTAAGTGCATTAAAAAAAGAAATAGTGTGGTTTATATCTGTAAAATGTTGCAGTACCTTTAACAGTCTCAGTGGCGTACCTCGTAAGACGCATGTGATCATGTATTGACACGTTCGAGCATGAACTCGGCTCGAAGCGTCTGATGAACTCATTCTTTTTTCCCCCGCTACATATCAGATTTTGCCCACTATTTATCACGAGAAAGACAAGTAGGAATCATCAATAAGTTTGTGCATCATATTTTATTTGCACATTTTTTGAATGGAAATGTTTCTGATTCACGCATGCAAATTCATCTTCAGATAGTGTCTTTATAGCAATGTGTGTGCGGTAGAAAGTTCAGATTACATTGGGAAAACAGGCGACTGCTGCAAATGGTGCTTTAATGTTTAGCTGGTCAAATGTATGGTATGGAAACCTTATATACCTGCTAGATGAACCCGTCTCATACAGCTGCCATTGCAAGGCTCAGACACTTTGTAGAGAGGAATTTAACACAACTGCCTCTAGGAGTTGCCAATGGAAATAAAACAGACACGCACAAAAAATGTGCATACGCCAGCCAGAAAGCTGCCGTGAAGCTGCGCACATTCCCACGTTCAGTTCATTGTTAGTAAATCCAAACGTGAGCGATTCTGAGCGTGAAACCTGGCGTACGCAAAGTTTTTGTGCGTACACAGCGTTGATACATGAGGCCCCTGGTGTGCACAAGCTTGCAGTCTTTAGACTTTTCAACTAGTATTACTATTTTAAACATTGTTACAAATTAGGGCTGCAATTAGGACATGGTTACAAAAAAAATGACATAGCAATATTTTCAATAACTGCGATATATGTTGCGATATAAATGCAATTTCACCAGATGACTTAAAAAGCTTGTAAAGAATTCATATTTTTAGAACAATTGGGATGATTCTGTATGGGAGCGTATCTGCATAAAGTATCATTTAAAAAATGACAAGCATAGTTACATGCAATAGACAAAAGATGCAAATAAACAATTCTTTTCTGGGGAGTCAAACAGTATTCAGAAACAGAAATTTAATAATCACTGTTTAATAATATAAACACCAGTATTATTTTTATTGAGTAATTATGTAATGATAAATTTATCTTTAAGCCACAAATGTTTAATTTATTGTGCCCAAATGGCTCAAGTTTTGCTTCAAAATCTTACAGTCAGGTCCTAAAATGCATGCAAATAATAAACTTTCACTCTAAAGTTAAAATTTGAAATTACTACACTATATAGTAACTGTAATGTCTGGTCAACTATAATCCCAACTACATTGCAGATGCCTGCGTTGTAACTATTGCAGACTCGCACATTGCGATATCAATGCTGAAACGATATATCGTACAGCCCTTTTACAAATATTCAAATAGGTACAGATGTGCTGCAGTAACTGGAATATAAACACTGATGTTAGGTGTTTTGATAGTCAAGGGATGATTGTAGTAATTCTTACACCAGTAGGTGGCAACAATCAGCCAAATTATATGTATTCGTCACAGAATAATTTAACTAAATTCTTCAAATATGCTGATTCACACCTAAACAAAAATGAGCAAGTTATTTAAAAAGTCATTTATATATAATAATGTATTTTAAAATGATTCTGCAGCAAATACAATTTAGTCAAAACCTTTAGTATGTAAATTTAATATTTTATTACTTAATTTTTTTACTTGTTCACTTATTTTTGTTGTTGATATTTTGTTAAGCTGTCATTTCAGAATCAAAAAATTTAATTTGTAGTTTATCCAGAATGGTGCAGCTCTACTCGGAGATGTAAATACAAGAATACTATGAGCCTGATTAGAGGCCAAAGGCTTGACATGGAAAATTGCTCTGAATTCAGATTTTGCCCTGATAAACTGTAACTTAACTGCAAACCTAGCATTTGTTGCACGCATAAAGTGTGATTAATGATCAGTCCGTTACTGGTGTTTTCTTAAACCGGAGATAAATGTGTGGAAGTGATTGCCGGAGATAAGGAAAGACCTGTTGTCTCTTGCTAGTATTTTATTGTGCAGCTACTGTTGATTCATGTTTAGCTTTTAATCAAGCCTGACATGCAAGTGTCAAACTCTATTCCCATATCAACTGAGTATTCATCTTTTTTTTTTTCTTTTTTTCAGAACACTTACTCTCTCTCCACCCCGGCCTGGTTGATCTTGCTCAGGATTCTTACGTTTCTCGCTTGTGCCTTTTTGGTAGCTGTGGCTTTGTCTGGATATGTAGACGAGAGCCCCTCTGTCACGCAGACCTTGAGCGGAGGAGTCGTTCCACCTAAGCGAGTCCTTCAGAATGAGAATGAAAGCAAGACTGATGAGGGCAGCTTGATGTGGGACGATCTGATGGGTCTCCTTCCGGAAAAAGCAGTGGAAAACGCTCGACTCTTCTGGCAGTCTGGAAGCGACCACCAAATGGCCGTGGCCTCTGTTGGACTCCTTACTTGCATCACAGGTGTCTTAATGGCAGGACCTGTCAGGTAAAAATAAATTTAAATAATAAATATATAAAAGTGGTTTTAGTTTTATTACTTTTGTATTCATTCATTTCAATTCAACACAAATAATACACAAGTGTTGTCGAAGTACTGGAATTCAGTACCGGTCGGTACTGAAATTTTCAAAAACATCCATTTCCCGCCAACATTTGAGTGCTGTTGCACATATTCTTAAACAGCGCTGATTTACCATAGTGTTCACATGTTCAACAGAAATTACTGTGATTGGCCGTAAAGGTTATCAGTTCACTGAACTCACCTCTCTTTACTGAGTGTAAACATAGATACAGGGACCCTGGAACATTTTAAAGCCGCGATTCATCAGCGGATTGCTCATATGTCCACTAATAGACAAACCAGCTTATCGATGTGACTTTGAAATGCTCCATTGTCCCTGTATCTGTTACATACATACATACTGTTGAAAACTAAATTATTTGCCATTCTGTTTGTTTAAGGTTCACAAGTAATGTTTACCAAAACATTTTAATAAATAAAATTAAAAATTTCATTGTTTCTTATTATATTTTTTTCTCTTATTTAAGTTTGGCTGCAATCCAACAATGTAAATATAAGATCCAAGGAGGTCAATATTAGCTCTCTTAAAGGGCACCTATGATGAATATCATCTTTTGGAAGCTGTTTAGACAGAACTGTGTGTAGGTATAGTGTGTCCACAGTCATATTAGAGTGATAGAAACACAGTAAGTCTCTCTTTTTCAAATTTCTGACAGTAAAAATAGTATCCAAATCCCTCCCGTTTTGAGGCCCACATCAACATGACATAGGAGTGCGGTTTCCCCGCCCACCTTATTGATTGACAGCCACGTATTAAATTGTATCCAAAGTAATGCGTATATTCATATCAACAAGACAGGATATGCGTAAACCAACTGGATTAAACGATCTCTTCAGCTCTCTGTAATCAGCAGCATCTCAAGAATGAGTTTTACAAGTTTAAAACTTTTCTAAAACAGTGCATGTTTTAATAAAGACAGTAAAATTGTTTTGTAATTTTTCATGTCAGTACTATTATAAAAGACTCTTCAATCCTGTTTCATGGACTTAAATTTTGTACATTAACAAAACGGATGTCCATACAGCAGTGGATATTAACCTATCCCGTTGCATTTGCCATGCAAAAACAGTGCAAAGCTAAACGCATGCCCAAACTTTATAATGACATTGTGTGTGACTCATCATTGCAGAAAGGCTTGAATTAACTCCACAACAAATACATCAAATAGTCATTGGGGAAGTTCTTACAGTAGTTAGAATGGGAGAGCTGCTTCATTCCTGTCTGTCACTGCTGCTTATGCGGGAGAAGATATACCCATCATAGCAATAATGAGCAATCTCTTTGGCTTTGACATGCACATGGGAATGGCGGGCGGGGAGAACCAACTCATATGCATTAAAGGTACAGGCAGCAAGTACAGCTACAGCCAAAACAGCTCAAATTTACAAGGGAAACAAAGGTCTAATAAATAATCTGAGTATTTTGAGCTGAAACTTCACAAGCACATTCTAGAGACACAAAAGATTTATATAAAATTTTGAAAAAGGGGTAAAATATGTGCCCTTTAAGATTTTTTGGCTACAGCACAAACCACTGTTGTCCAGTAAATTGTCAAAATGACCTTGTCTAGTTTATCTAATTAACGTAATTAAGAGAACTAGTTTCTTGTGAAATAATTAGTAAAATATTATGTACTGTCTTTATGACAAAGACAAAAATAGTTAGAACTTAGTTATTAAAGAGATTATATTTAAAAATGTTTAGAAAAAAAATCTTTTAAATTATACGTGGGAAACATTTGAACAAGAATTAAAATTTGCTAATAATTTTGTCATCAACTGTATATTGCAATAAATACATGTATATAATAAACTAAATAAAATCTTTGGTTAAAGAATTTTTTTTTTTCCTTTCAAGGTTAAGGAGGATTGATGCTGTGGCTTCTGTGCTCTGGCTCCTGGTGATCTGTTTCTACCTGGCCGAGTGTTACCTGAAGACAGACGTCCCAAGCTGGCTGGAAATGGTCAAGTTTGGCATCACTTCTGTGTGTTGTCTGGTGGGATTCGCTGCCGCTGTGGCAACACGCAAATCCACAAGTCAGAGAAGAGCCAGAGGTCGCAGGTCAGAATCTGAGCAGTGACACTAAGCTAAGATATTTAATGGGATCTGTAAGCCAAGACCCTTTTGGGACATATTGAATCAAGGGTTCGATTTTGCCAGATTGGTACATTATTCTTCCAAACATTTTATTCAATTTACACTAACAAACTAATGCACTCATTTATAAACCTCCATGGCCTTTAGGGCAGTGTTTCCCAACCTTGTTCCTGGATGCACACCAACTGTACATATTTTGGATCCCATTAATTTTAGGTTTTGGAGTCTCTTCTAATGTTCTGTTAATTCAAGTGTGAATGTGTTTAGGGAAAATGTGAAAATGAAAGAAATAAAAATGTGTACTGTTGGTGTGCCTTCAGGAACAGGGTTGGGAAACACGGCTTTAGGGTACTTGCCAACTAGGCCCTCAACAAAATACTATTTTTTAAAAGATCAGTGTTGGTGCTTGCTTTGATTTATTTAGCTCAGAACACTAGAAAAGGAGTGTTTATTACCTTTTTTGTAGTCTAGTGTTAAAATGTCCAGTGTGCCTCTGATTTGACACTTTACTTTCAGACATTTTACATTTAGTTTTATACTGGTTAAATTTGGGTTTAAGGCTACTGAAGATACAGCCTAGTATTTGAATTAATATTGTATGACTCAATGCAAGATTTCTTGTGCATAAAGAAATAGTGGTGCCATTTTATGGATGGTGGTGGGAGATTTGGGATTTTTGTTTTCTACCACTGATTTGACTGTTGCAGTATGGAATTGGCATTTAAAAATTACAAGATATAACGTAACTATACCCAATGCTCAACTGTAATAGACATTGTTTTATCGCTCAAAGCCTATATGCAATCTCACTTAAACCGTAAAATCAGTATTTATTTGCTGACATACTTTAGTTGAAGCTATTTTTTTGTGGTAAGCTTCAACAAGCCAGATTTGGGAGTGTCTGTGTCAAATATGTATGTTTAGTTGTGTAGATTCTTAATCCTAATTTAAAGCCTTGTGGGACAATTAGATTTTCTGGGCCCAGATTTTCAAAAAAATGTCAACTGGATCAAATTATTCAGAGTGTTGGATCAGTGTGATCCAAATACCAAATTTCAGGTTTACCAAACCCTGTTTACCAGAGCCTTAAATGGAACCAAGAGTGTAGCCTACTGGCTAAGCAAAGAACAACAGGTAGGCAAAATAACAGTGGCAACAAACAGCCATTGTTTGTTTTAATGGTAAAAAAACAGGAACACTGCAATCAACAAACATTGTACGTTTTTTAGTTTGCTCTAGAGTTGGGTCGATAGATGATGCCATCATCCATTGCCAATGGCCGATAGACATCCCGATGCTGAGCCGGAATCGTGATCCCCGCCCCTGTCGCAGCGGCAATCCGCTTGCGGAAAAAAACCGCATGGCCCCATTTACACTAATACATCTTTATTTTAAATTGGCATTTTAGAACGAAAATGTTCCACACCCACACTGGCGTTTAACCTAATTTCTGAAAAGCCCTGAAAGCACTGAAAACGCACATACACTCTGTCACGCTGCAGCGTATGCGAACATCTGAGCTCCAGCAGTCAGTTACAGGCTCACAGCGTCAGTACACTGCTTTAATCTTTCGCTTTCACGCTTGTAATTTTAGCGAAAAACCTTAGATACTGTTGGTTGTATCCTGTTTGTTTTGCACCTTTTTACCAACCAAGTTTGTCAAAGCCATAGTAACGACACAGATCACTCTGTCTATTCATGCCAGAGTCCCGCAGAAAAAGTGATTGACAGGTGGCAATTTGTGTGTAACTTATCTTTATTTGTTTATGATTTGGTCATGGGTAAAACAAACGCCATGTGGGTCAGGTAGTTGAAACGGTAGGCTTCAAATAATTAATTAATTATTAATTAATTAATTATTCATAAATAATGAATTCACCGCCACCTACGACGATGATGCTATCGTCCATCGTGATGTTTTATATTAGACATCGTACAATGCCAAATTGGTCGACATCGCCCAACCCTAGTTTGTTCTAAAGCAATACTGCTTTGATACTGTTTTGTTGTTGTTGTTTACCATATCTCATTAGATGTGACATGCTTCATATAGGCTTTAAATATAAAGGAATTTATATATTGTATGTCAAGTTCGTGACTTTTTTATTTTCTTTGGTAAAAAAAAGTCAAAACTGAGTCCACCCTTCTGACGGGATCAGGATAATCCTGTTTTTTGGATCAAATAGATCCCAATTTGAGTTCAAAATTTTGAATAACCCAAAGGGCAGGCTTGATCTTAATCAGATGTAAGATTGGATGGTCTGATCTTAATTCAAAAGCCCTCTGTTACTTTGGAAAAACTAATTTTCAAGATTTGATCCAATCCATGATCCAAAATCTGACTGGATTACCTTTGGAAAAACTGGGCCCTGATTATTACATCAATCCAGAACAGATGCAATGTTTAGTTTACTGACACAGAAATCAGTTAACGAAGTACGTTGCTTGGCACTGCTTATTGTATTGTGCACCATATATTTATTACACTGTAAAATTAGAAAAATGCACTTCGTTTTATTACACGCTATTTAGTTTGAATTCTGCTAACCACACTAAAGCGCTGTAACGTCGCCTCCACGTTCCACTAATGTTTGTTTATATATGTTTTTTAAAGCTTTAAAATGAAAAGCCTCTTTTACCTGTTGGTTATGTATTGTAATGTGTTTGCTGTTTTAGAGTGTGACATCATATGAGTGTATGACTATAGGTTGTATGTTTCTGTAGGTTTGCATCACTGTATTTCCCAAGTTACTGTATGCATGTGGCGTATGCTGTGAAGTTCATTTTTTGCTGTGATCAAAGTGCTTATTAATGTGACTTAGACATTAACTGTCTGCAGCTTTTGTGTTATTCAAATCAAGTCTTTTTCAAATTTTGTGAGTTTACCAAGCACTCATGTGTAATAATGGGATGGTTCACCCAGAAATTAACTTTCATTTTATGCAAGCTCGAATATTCCAAATGTTTCTATCTTCTGCTAAACACAAAAGATGATGTTTTCATGAACATGCAGAACCAAATTGTTGACGTCTCTACTGAGTTATTATAAGGATCTCATTCTTTACATCTTATTTTGTGTTTGTCACAAGAAATTTCATAAAATTTTGAAGACTTGAGTAAATAATGACAGAATTGTCATTTTTGGGTGTACAAACTTTTTAGTCCATGCAGATTTAGTGGTACTTGTCCACTTTTGACAAACTGTAAGGTTCTCAACAAGCTTTTACATATTTAGAATTTCAAACTGCCAAAATTGAAATGTGCCTATGTAAAAAGCTCTAGTTAAAGCTCTGTCATCACTGACTTCTATAGCATGAACAAAAATACTGTGGAAATCAAAGGTTTCCGTCTACTTTCTGGTTATCAATGCTCTTCAAAAACACGTTCATCTGTGTTCAGCCAAAGAAAAGACTGGATAGAGCACAAATGAGGACCGAATTTTTTTATTGTTATGATAATGTGATCTGTTTGTGGCACATTTCTGTTATTTAAGTATTTTACTGTAGACGTTCATATTCCTCGTCATCATAGTATGTTTTTACCAAAGTTGGTTGGTAAATACTAATAGTGTGTATTTGAATCTGACATTAATACTAGTATCTCAAAATAATGTAAAACATTTATGTAGCACAGTAGACTATTTTGTAAGTATACTCAATACTTCATTGACTACCTATTTTATTTTTGTAATGTCACCTCATGTCTCCCTCCCCAACTTTATATTATTTAATATAGAATGTGAGTGTAACTGAATGAAGCTGAATTTAACACTAAGGATTTATAAGGTAAGACTGAAAATACAGGTCTGTGCTTGTTGTATCAGAAGGCGCATGGTGATATTAAAGTCATAAAAGTAAATGGGTTTCTGTTGATAATGTCTACTGTTGAGGTCAATTAAAGGGTTAGATTTGGATTAGTTTAGTGCTTATAAGCAATTATGGTACCCTTAAACCTTTAAACTTCGCCTGGTATCAACGTGTTCATATGGATTTAATGTTGTAAATTATATTCAGATTTCATAGAGAACATTTGTTGTATTTCATTATGCTCTCCATCACTTTTCTTGTGAGTGTACGGATGAATTAATAAACCCACGTTACATAGCTTATAAGTAGGGCCAGGCAGAATCTGCTGGCATTTTTTGCTATTTCTGCACAATTTAGGCTAAAATATTTCGAGAGTATCATAACTAAACACCTAATATATTAAATAAAAAATAATAACTTTTTTCTTTTCACTGCAAATCCATTTAGATTCACTTATTTAGTAAACAAATCAAGTCTCTCATCTAATATATCTACTAAAAGACAGAAAATATAACTTTACAAACTGTATTGTGAATTGATCAATTTCATATTAGGCAATAATACTGAAATTGATTTAAAAGCTGAATAGATAATGTACACATGTAAGTAAATACACTTGGTAAGCTAGAAATCTGCGGAGATCTGTGTGTGGACCTATCCACTTGTTAAGTGTGACGTCACGCGAAGTGGCTTCCGGGTCCAAGCACTCTATTCAACTGAATGGGGAGACTCATGAAATGGTACTAATAAACGTTTACAAAGCGATTTAAGGCTTTTGAAAATCACGATCGCAATATATATGTCCATGCCTAATATCCGATGGCCAGAAAGTGATACATTTTTTGTAAATTGTTAAAATTTTGGTATTTGTTATGCAGCAAGCCAAGAGATTGTTGTGTACACAATGATTTTATATAAAATTAACTTTAATGTGTGATAGGAATAAAACGTGATCATAAACTAATGATTTCTCCACTCAAGTGAGTGGCGGCTTGGACCCGGAAACAGTATTACATACGTCACAAACACGTCACCACTTAACAAGCGGATTTACAAGTAAGTGCGAAAGCGAGTGGTTGAAACTAAATTGAATGGAAACCAATATTTTGATTGTAAGAGCTTTTGTTTTGATTTGCTTTCTTGAAGCTCATCACATCATTAAGGTGAAATTAGGTCGTTTTTGTTTCGCTTCAGTTTGTATGCATTGAGCACATGAGCATTTACACTATGAAAGCAGTCTAATTAGGGCATTTTGAATACCTCTGAAGGAGTCCACTTTTTATCTGATTGGCAAGAATGTATCCTAATACGAGGTGTAAACAGCACCTAGAGCCTGTTTTGGCCGTTGACCATTACAGATCTAAAACATTCATTTGAGCTTTTTGGTTCTTCATTACAAATAGGCCTATTTATAGAAACCTCTAGTCAGAATATTTTTTTGCCATTGCTCTTTCTGGTATACCATCAACCCCAGATCAGTGTTTTTAGTTCTTTACCTGACCTCTCAGATATAATGTGAATTGCAATGCTGAATAGTGTGAAACCATTTCCGTCCAGAAACGTAAGCTAAAGTTTGTTATGATGTCTTTGGAGTGTTGTTGTTGTTTTATAATTGGAGTAAAGCAGCATGTTGGAGTAATCGCTGTACTAAGATTGGATTGTATTGGATTCTTTTATACCTTGTATTGTTTAACCCTATTATGAAAGTGAAATAAAACACTTACAAAATCCAAACTGTGTTTGGCATTTTTTTTAAACTAGAATCAGGGTACGTTTATATGAGGGTGATGTACTGAAGTTTGCGTGAATGATTCTTGTTCTCAATCATCGACAAAAAAGACTGAAACAATGTCTTGTGCATGCCAGGCCAGTGGACGGCGATATGACTTTCTTGCTTTGTAAAGAAACAAAAAGTACCTGTGCTAATGTAGTCTTGTGGTTTGGCATTGTTGTTTTGGTTAGTCAATCAATTTTACATGCCTATGCATTTATGCTATTTCATAAATTAGCGTTTTTTTGCTTTACATGGGAACAGTAAAAGTATAAATCTCAAAAGCCACTTTGAGATCCCAAAACTACTATTGTCAAAATCATGTTTTCAGTTTTGCTTGAAAGCCGTGTTGTGTGAACATAACCTTAAAGTATTTGGATAATCATTATAGAGGGAAGTGATTGTACCCTTATGTATTATAATAACATAACTAAGACATTTGCATATTATTGGTTGTCTGAACTGAGCAAGCGGAGATACACTGAGATATTACTGATGTATGATTTAATTCATAATTTACAGATATGTCATTTATACACTTTATCTACTTTGAAATCTTTACTTCACCAAATTGTACTTAGTTTATAGTTTATTTAAATGAAGAGCAATGATGAGGTGTACATTTACACACAATCTGCCTACTTGTTCATATTTTCAGTTTCTCCAGGCTTTAGAATTCTATTAAACTATTATTCTATCTTCTCCCATTGGCTACTTGACACAAAACAGAATGGAGTTTTCAGTAACAGAAGAGTGATTTGCAGTGCTGTGTGTTTCAGGTATCTGTCTGGTGGTTCTCCAGGAGAGTTCTTCTGTAATCATGGGCCGCTGCTGTCTGCACCTGTGTCTGAATCCTCCACCTTTATCCCGACGCCTCCACCCAACCTGTCCCAGCTGCTGATTCGCCAGCAGAGCCAGCGAACCCGCAAAGCCTCCCCCTCCTCACTGCCTGGCCGGCTCAACAGAGCCCTCTCTTTGGGCACCATCCCTTCACTTGCACGCACAGGTCAGTGCATGTTGAAAATATTCAGCACTTTTTTGTCGCATGAATAAAAATTGTCTTATATCATATGTATTGTCATTGTTCTAATAGGATTAGCATTTAAGCCAAACATTACTTTGGAATTTAAAACTGTTTAATAAGCTACTTATTATTAATTTTAAAATACTTGTATATTTATCAATTTATTATACTGTGTTTATTATGTTATACTTAATATTAAAGATAACAGGGTGTCCGTGGGGTCTTAAAAAGTATAAAAGTTTATTAATTTACTGATGAAAAAATTAAGGCCCTTAAAAGTTATTAAAAAGTCTTAATGGCGTTTAAACGAGGTCTTCAATTTTGTTCAAGCGTTGTTTGACTCCAAAAAAAAACATAAATGTATTTTTTTTTTTGTAATATTATCAACTGCATGCTCGATCCACACGATTGGTTCGGGTCGAGGCATGTCCGGCCAAGCTCCTCCGTCCGGGTAATGTCACATAGTTTGCTACAAATGCGTGAAGGTGATGTGATGCTCTCCACATGAAGCAAAACCATAGAGCGAAACAGACGGCAAATGGGCAAATGTAAGCGTTTTCCTGGTTGGAGAACGACGAGTTTAAAAAGTGGCTGAAGCTTGTCGCTAAAAACAACGGCGTAATTTATTATTTCAAGTTTTGTTTCTTCTGAGCTTTTTTGAGTTCTGTTGCTTGGTTGTGCTCCTATGATTTATTTAACTACAACAGTTTAAGTTAAACGTTTGATGCTGATTAGAACTTGAAGTGGCAATGAGGTCTTAAAATATTCTAAGAAGGTCTTTTAAAAGTCTTAAAAAGGTATTGAAATTATCTTTAGGATTCCTGCATATACCCTGGAATATGAAGTTAAACATAGTAGTTGCTTTAAAAGGTTTTATTCACTTCTTAGGGTGCTTTCACACCTGTGAATCGATTCAGTTGTTCCAAAACAGAGATTACAATTGTTAGATTGTTGCTCTTTGCTCTTGGAGCGGTTCGCTTTCACACTGCAAAGTTTCTAATCGGACCAAAAGAGCTAAAACAAGTCACATGCGAGTAAACTCTCCTCACATTGGTCAGAGTGTCAGGGTTTATTTTGCAGCGTCCCGCTAAGCTGTCAGGAGAGGTGGTGGTTTGGTGGTGATTGACAGGGTGCGTGCGCGCGACGTGTCTGAGGAGAGACGCGGTGGGGAGGGGTGAGAAGGGTGCGCGACGATGCCTATTTGAGGACCTGGAGGGAGACGCGAGATTACCGGGAGATCATCACTCGTTTGCAGGCATCCGGAGACTCGCGAAACTTCCCACCCCACTCATACTTCTCTCTTCATATAGCCGTATATGCCTATTACATATCCATAAAACACAGTGATACAACCTCGCTCGGATCGGATCGCTTTCTCACTACAATCGAACCGCTCCAGGGTTCGTTTCAATCGAGCCGAGACCACCTCATTTAAGCGATCTCGGAGCGATTACTTTGGCGCGGAACAGAGCGCGATTGCCCTGTTCACATATGCCAATCGAACCGCGCTAACTGGGCAAACGAGATACGTTCCGAAACAAAAGTGTAGGTGTGAAAGCACCCTTATACTTCTTATACACTTCTTACTTCTTATAGACGGTTTATTTAAAATATTGAAATATACTATTTAGTTAAGTTTTAATAACATTAATAACATAAATTCTTTTTACGAATGGAGATTTTGTAATTTTGTGGTATTGTTGTTTGTGATTTTTATGTGAAATTTTATATGCTCCCTGTCGTCTTGACCAGGTCTCACTGGAAGAAGAGACAGTACTGTCTCAATGTTATCTCCTGAATAAATAAAATAAATAGTAATGATATTAAATATATGTTTATTTCATAATGCTGTATGTAAATATAGTAAAATATATAAAAAATTGTACATTAGCATTGTTTTTTTACTATCTGTTTTTATTAAAACGTGCAATTTAGTTATTTAAATAATAATAATAATAATACATTATTAATTAATTTATCAGGGGTTGCTGCAGCGTAATAAACCGCTAACTTATCCAGCATATGTTTTACACAGCGGATGCCCTTCCAGCTGAAATCCAGTACTGGGAAACATCCACACAGACTCATTCACACTCATACACTACGGCCAATTTAGTTTATTTAATTTACCTATACCCGCATGTCTTTGGACTGTGGGAGAAACCAAAGCACCCAGAGGAAACCCATGCGAACACGGGGAGAGCACACAAAAAGTACATGCCAACTGACCCAGACAGGACTCGAACCAGAGACCTTGTTGCTGTGAGGTGACAGTGCTAACCACTGAGCCACCATTTCACCTTATGGTGAAGACAGTGGCACACAATTAATTAGTTTGTACTGTGTGTGTTGTAATTAAGTGTTCAATAACTATTTATTTTGTTTTGCCTGTATGTTATTGCATATGACTCTCAAAGTGCTGATAGTCATTGACTTGCATCTTATATTATGTATCACCAAGAGCCACAATTTTAGCTAAAAAACCCTCATTATTACATTAACTTTCTAAAAGAAATTCCCATGTTAACACAGCCTTGCTTTAGTTTGTGAAGCTGAGCACTGTGCAGATAGTGAGGGGCCCCAGGTGCTGTTTTGTGGAAGCAGTGCAGAGGTGCATGATGGGAAAGATGTGGGTCACTGACTGACTGAATGTCTGCTAGAAGGAACTCGGCTCACTCCTCACCCCAGACGGTGCCGCACCTCACTGGGGAATTTTGCCAACTGCCAAAGAAAACTGCAAAGTGTGATTTAGAAACAATCTGTATGCTCTCCAGCTACCTGCATAACACCGGGATTTTCCCACCACTCGTGGGTTTCCAATTACAGGATGTAGCATTGTTTTAATAACAGCTGGTCCATTTCATCTTATGCCATTAAATTTAAAAGAAGAACAACCCGTAAATTCAATATTTCAATATTTCATTATTTACTAATGCTATTGCAAACTTGTATGTGCATCTTTTTGTGGGGCTGGAGATTGTGAATAAACTATCGCATTTTGCAAACTTTTTATACCATTATTGCGACCGAATTTTGTTGGACGTTGCGCTGGTCTGATGACAGATTTCTAGAACTGATAATAAATAACATTCTGTTGCATATGAGATGCATTGCAGCACAAGAAACAAAACAGTGCTAGTTTTAACAACACAGCATCCAACCACATATCAGCTTTGTTTAAAAGAAGAGACAGCGGTGCTATGGTAGCTAGAGTGAATGTTTCACTGAACCAGTCATTTACATAGACATCAAACAGCTGACTGTGTCCATTACATGAATATAAGAGAGTATAATATATCAAAATAAAGAATCGAGCCTCTGCTTTTAAACATTCGTTTCTTTAAACATTCATTCATGTTCTTTTTGCCTCAGTCCCTTTATTAATAAGGGGTCGCCACAGCAGAATGAACCACCAACTTATATGTTTTACGCAGCGGATGCCCTTCCAGCTGCAACCCATCACTGGGAAACACCCATACACTCTCATACACTCTGGATAATTTAGCTTACCAAATTCACCTATAGCGCATGTCTTTGTTGGGGAAACTGAAACCCACGCGAACACGAGGAGAACATGCAAACTTCACACAGAAATGCCAACTGACCTAGCCGAGGCTCAAACCAGCAACCTTCTTGCTGTGAGGCGACAGCGCTACCCACTGCACCACCTCTCCGCTCCTGCTTTTAAACAAGAAAAGAATATATTTGTGTTTGCCACCACTTGAATGAAGAAAGGTTTCGAGCTTTTCATAAATTGATAAATTTTTTAATTGAGGAAAAATCTTAGAAATTTTTTTTTTTTTAAAGATTAAAGAAGTAATTTTTATTGTTAGATATATTTATTTAGACATCAATGAGTATGTCCACATTTAAATATGTATATTTTATATCCATTTCTCATTGAATATGGCCAATAATTTGCATTTAAACAAAGTTTAACAGAGTTTGGTCATTGAACATTATTAGGAATAGCCAAAGATTTAAAATTAAACAAGGTATTGCACAAAATTTCAACTAATCAAATTTTTCTATATTATATATTTTCTATATTCTATATTTATTATAAAAGTTTCTATATTATATTTTCATCAACATATTAATTTGGGTGCATAAATCTTTGGACTGTGATAAGTTTATTTAGTACAAATTATTTTTCTTTTTTTTTATAATCACACTTGACTAAAAAATCTTCAGAAACACTTTCCCATTGCAAATGTCATCATGGTATAGACAGCCCTGAATCAGAAGCTGCAGTTCCTCCATTAGCACTCTGTTCTATAAGTTTTCAAACCGTACCTGCCATAGATATTGTCTGTGACTGACATATTGATGAATGTATGTAGAGTTTTAGGATGCACAAATGAACACTGAAGTCTCCCTAGATTGCCTGAGACACTTCTTCTGTTTTTCACAGAGATAGCGTTAGCCTTGTTTGTAGCTCCACCCCTTTTTGAAGAGCACAATCTCATTTAAATTTAAAGTGATGTCACCTAAAAAAAGCCTTAAAAGAGGCAGTTTCAGAAAGTTATTAAAAGGTTTTGTGGGGTATTTTGAGCTGAAACTTCACAGAAACTCTCTAGGGACATCAGAGACTTATTTTACATCTTGTTGAAAGGTACATAATAGGTCCCTTTTAAAAGGTGGTCTGTGAGGGGTGTACTCTTTTTGCTAAGCACTGTTTATATATTTAAATATTGAAGCTCCAAAAAAGGAACATGGAAGAAAAAATAAATAATATAATCATAAATACCTAATCTAACCCGAGAAATGATTCAACCCATGATATAAAATAATAACATACCAGTAAAAACCATTTTTATTAAAAAGTTTATGTGCTGTACAAGATATTTTATTTGAGACAACAGACAATTTAGGATGGGAAAACAAAAAACGTGGTTAGGAATTTATGGGATTATATCTGCTTAGTCATTCTGTAGAGATGTTTGAACTATATTCAGTTTTTATAGCTTATTAGTATGCAGTTCAATTTATCCTATAATACATTTTTAGTTGTTTGATATAGTATCTGAAGAGCAAGAATGCAGTTTTGAGTAGAAATTGTCAGAAGTTGCATTTTTGGGTGAGCTGTTTCACAACAAGAATTGATTGTTCCATTTTCTCCCAGTCTGATTTTGGGTATGCATTTAAAACCTATGAACACAGCGTATGTACTATATATCAAAGTGTATTGCAGGGGCAACAGCTTGGTTCAGTGTTGCTTTTAACTTTGACCTTTCTGTAAGCGGGACTTTGTAATACACACAGGCTTTTAAAGCCCAGGATCAGGCTGATGTCTGGAGCACTGTTTAAATGACTGTTGTGAGACTGTTGAAGAATCATGGTTTGTTTCATGTGTGGATCTTCAGAAGAGGCCAGATGAGATGGCTAATGTCAGCCTCCTGTAATCAGATGCAGCGGCTTGACAGGTGTGATTAAAAAAAAAGAAAGAAAAGGACAGAGCTTGATCTTTGTGCTCTTGACTTAATCATAAATACTTGTCTATGAGATCTCTGTGTTTGATGCAGTTTTTTCTACCTCGTAATAATATGTATGGATGGCTAATTTTAATTACCTCATGAAATCTTTTACTTTTTTATTTTTATTTTATTTTTTAGATTCCAAATTTCTCTGTAAACAATGTTTTGGAACATTTCTTTTTGTTTTATTCAATTGGGTTATTATATAACTCATTTCTAATAACGGATTTATTTGATCTTTGCCATGATGACAGTAAACAATATTTCACTAGATATTTAATAATATTTCACTAGATAAGACACTTCTATACAGCTTAAAGTGACATTTCAAGGCTTAACTAAATGTAAAACTGCTTTTATTCTAGCCAAAATAAAACAAATAAGACTTTCTCCATAAGAAAAAATATTTATCAAACATACTGTGAAAATTTCCTTCCTTTGTTAAACATCATTTGGAAAATTAAAGGGGGTTTAATAATTCTGATTTCAACTGTACATATATTTTGATTTCATGTTCTGTTTCCTTGTTTATTTGTTGGACTATTTAATTATTTATTTAATAAAGTAATCCGAAAGTAATGATAAATCTAATAGGATATATTTTTCAGTTACTGTTTTAAAACTCATGCAAGCACATTTAATTTTATTTCTGTCAAAATTAAAATATGGGAGGAAATTTGTAATTATTTATTAATTTCATTTTACTTCACATAACGTTGGGTTACCCAAATTTTTGCACCTGTCTGTTTTGTTATGACTTAAATTGCATTGCATCTGTTGATTAAATAAATGTTATGTCAGAACTGAAATGTTGCTTTTTTTCTATAGGGTATAACTGAATTCAGGGTATCCAACTGAAATTGCTAATTTGAAAGGCCAGCAGACTATGGCTTGCAATTATGAAAATTATCTGAGCTGGCCAAACTTTTGCATAAAACTGTTGGTGGATTTGGTATTATTCATCAGGGTTCAGGTATTCTCGGAATAAATGGGTTTTTAATAATTTTAATAAGGATCTTATAACCACAGTTCATTTTACTGTACAATAGTAATAGGCCTATATTTACGTCACAGTTAAAACCCACATTTTACTGTAAATTAAATTCACAGAGACATTCAAATTCATACTTGCTTATATTCACATTAACATTCACAGACACTGACAATTCTTTATTATTCAATACAATTCTTTTTGTATAGCCCTTTCCATGATAATTATTGTTTCAAAGCAGCTTTACAGAAGGTGCACATTTTTGCATTACAGTCAGATGCGGAAAAGTTAAGGTTTCAAATTACCATAGCTTTACAAGTTACAAAAAACTTGAACTAATTAACTAGTAACTAATAGCTTTTAACATTTATTCCTTTGGCTTAGACCAGGGGTGTCAAACTCAATTCCTGGAGGGCCGAAGCCCTGCACAGTTTAGTTCCAACCCTTGGTTTCAAACAAGCCTGAGAACTTAATTAGTTTGATCAGGTGTGTTTAATTAGGGTTGGAACTAAACTGTGTAGGGCTGCGGCCCTTTTGGAACTGAGTTTGACACCTGTGCCTTAGACTCTTTATTTTATAAGGAGTCACCACAGTGAAATGAACCGCCAATTTATCTAGCATATGTTTTATGCAGCGGATGTCCTTCCAGCCGCAACACAAAACTGGGAAACCCATACCAGTCATTTACACTCATACACTACAGCCAATTTAGTTTATTCAATTCACATATAGCACATGTCTTTGGACTGTGGGGGAAACCAGAGCACTTGGAGGAAACCCACGCCAACACGGGGAGAGCATGCAAAGTTCAAAAAATAACAGCAACTGGCCCAGCCAGGGCTCGAGCTAGGGAACTTCTTGCTGTAAGGCGACTAACCACTGTGCCACTCTTAGCTTTTAACAGTTAAAGTTACTATATATAAACATAGGTAACCTGCAGTTATATAGTATATATCGTATGATATCTATGTACACATGTTAGTGGTTTAATTCCAGTTTTATGACCAAATTTATTTCTCATCATCAGATAAATGGCTTTTGTTTACTCCTCCTTTAAGAAACATTACCAAGACTAGTGAGATCTCTTACAGCAGAAGTGTCTGATTATCACTCATCTCCTTGTCACACTTGTGCAGGAGCTCTTGAAAAGGCTTTTGTGTGAGCGGAGCCTGTACCTGCTCCATCATGTAGCGTCAGCAGCATCTGCATCTCTACCGCCGCAGCTGTGCAGATCCACACATTCCTGGACTGACAGCACCAGAGCGTTAAATGACTTTTCTGCTGCTGGATGCTTGTGTTGTATTATCAAAAATTGCTTGGAATTTGTCTTGCACTTCTGCAGTGCTGCTAGCTGTTTTATTTTGAAAAAGTAGCCATGGAAATGTTTCCAGCAACAAAGTGCCATTAAATTAGTGGCCAATGTTTTGGGGTGGGTATGAAGAAACTAATTGCTTTTATTCAGAAATTTAACAAAAATGTTTTCAGTGTTACAAAAATGTTCTGTATTTTATTCATTTTATTATGTATTAACTATTCAGTACTGGAAACAGGAACGATTTCTGAAACATTTTTAATAGCTCTGAAGACTGTAGTACTAAAATTCATTTTTAAGTATTTTATTAAACATACACTTATATATATATATATATATATATATATATATATATATATATATATATATATATATATATATATATAATACACACATATATATATATAATACACACATATATATATATATATATATATATATATATATATATATATATATATATATATATATATATATATATACATTTTCTTAATATCAGCCTCAAACTTTTGAAAGATAGTTTATTTGATAGTTTATTTTAATTGTTTGAGAAGACCCCTCCCAAACACATGCTTTGAGTACCCAAAATATAAATATATAAATGCAATATATATATATATATATATATATATATATATATATATATATATATATATATATATATATATATATATATATATATATAAAAAAAATAACCTACTGTTCATTTTCATGGAGGGTGAGCGACTTCCTGCAACCTCCGTCTACGTGAGCGACATTGATCGTTGGCGACCAGGTGGGCGTGTCAAGCTACGCAACACATTTGAGAATCTTTCAACTTGATGCAAGTAAAGAGCAACTTTTTTGAGCGACAACCAATTGAAGCACCAGTAGAGCTCACGTGATCTTCTCTCAACCCGTTCAGAGGCCGGTTGCATCCTTCATGCTGTAGACCTATACACAGACCTGTGTTTGCAGCAGATCACCACCCAGAGCGACAGGTTGCTACAAAGTCGCTGCTAGTGTGAATGAGGCATAAGAGGAAGAGAAGCGCTCTAGCTCAGCACAGTGGACTTTGCTTTATTTACATCGTTTTGTATTATTTTCAATCGTTTGGCAGATCCACCACTTTTGACGCTCATAAATGTTCGTAAAGTCATCGTGCTGCACGTATTAGGAGGTTTGCTGAAAGTGCAGCGAGGGGGTTTCATCTTTAATAAACTATGACAGTTCGTGTTCATTGAAAAGTATGAATGAGTAATCAATCCATATTAAATACACCCTTAAAAATGACGTCTCTCAGGCGTGCTTTGCACTCACACTACAAGCATACTGTGGCAAAGCCCAACTGAACTGGGTTTTGGCACACCTCATTTTTTATTTTGCTCTTAGACAGGGTTTTAATAATAAAAGGATTTCTACCTTTCCTAAAACTTTCCAGTTTTATTATTTTAATTTTACAAGCTGTGAATTATTGCAACATTAAATGTATCTTGTTTGCTGATTTATTCTTTTATTTTAGATTCAGGTTTCCTGTTCAGCGGCAGCAGACCATCTTCACAGTGTAAAGACTCGCCACCTTCAGGTAGCTCAAGAGAAATAAATGAACAGTACATTTATTACCTCATTTAATAAATGATATCAATTATTAGTCACATCAGCTGATGTGACTTTCTGTTGTTTCTCATTAGACTACTACTCTCTAAAATCTGGAAGCAGACCCTCCTCTCCTGGACCGTCTCCGACCCCCTCGGTGGCAGGATCTGTGACTTCCACCTCCAGCTCGGCCAGGCAACGCCGGCCGCTCATCAGCCCAGCCAGGCTTAACATCAGTGGGCAGAAGCTGCGGCTCTTTTCCTCTCCTCTAGAGCCCTTCAGTTTGGCCTCACCGCCTCCGTTTCTTTCAGAGCACAATCCTATGCACAGCAGAGGATTCTTGCCTGATGTTCCACACTTCCATTTACAAAATCATGGTATGGGGCAGTCTTGGATGTCATTCTTAAACCAGATTAATTTTAAAATGGGAAATCAGAGCTACTGTTTGAGTTTTTTTGTGGTTTTAGTGCCCAGTTCATATGCATTTGTGCACTATATATTAATATTTTTATTTTAATATAATGATGATAATTTTTTATAATGTTGCATTATTATTATATAAATAATAATGATATTTTTATATTATTATCGTGAGATTTTTGGGCACCAGTATGCTACTGCTAATGTTAAAGCAGTAAATCTAAGATTTTTATGAAATATCATGAATTTTGCTGAATTTGTTCTCACTAAACCCCATTTATGTGTTGGGGTTTCAAGTGACTCATGGGATTTTTACCTTTTGGGACTTTTTTAAAAGCTTAATGTTAGACAACCCTCACTAGTATTTTGTGGACAAGAGCAGGGGACTCTAAGTTTAGGTTTGGAGTTAGTTTGGTTTATGTTTATTTGCATAAATATAGAGCTGCACAATATAAAAATTCAGCATCGATAAAATGATGTGCGTCTCCGGAATGATCACATCGCAAGATATACAATGTTCACTTAGTATTATAGATGACCAGGAACCACAAGTGATTGTGAGTGGAGTCACTGCAGAATTTTAGCATAATAGAGTGAAAGTTTATTATCTGCATGTGCTTTTAAGGCCTGTGTCTATGTGAGCATTTTAATAGAGCTTAAAGCATTTTTAATAGTGCATAAAGATGAATATGTTTTATAATTAATTATATGATAAAGACTATGGAATGTTATTTTACATTTTTGTTATTTAATTTCTGTACCTGAATACAGTAAGACTTTTACAGTAAAGCACTGTTTATTTCACTTTAATGTTTGCTTCATTGTGTTAATAACTGTAGTTTGTTTATTATAAGTATATAATAAATTACATAAAAAGATTTGTATTTGATGTCCCTACAAAACCATTCCAATCAATCTAAATGAATGACTTTCCAAATAGAGCTATTTAATTGATCTAGTGTATTTGTATTTGTATTGCTATGTATTGCAGAGAAAAAATATTGCAATATTACATTTTGTGCAGCCCTAATGCAATATATGGATAATTCACTACACTAAATATATGTACAACAAGGACCTTTACGTCTTTATCTTCTAGTGTGTTCAAAATTCTTAAACTTTTGATATTTATTGGATTTTGTTTGGTTTTCAGGTTCAGTGATTGACGAGGGAAGTGTATTTGAGCATTTGGAGAAGCCAATGGGAAGCTCTTCTTCATCCTCAAACTGCCATGTAGACACCACTACAGGAAATAATATTGAAAGCAAGCCTGGATGGAAGGGTAAGAATACACATTTTGAGAATAGTAACATTTTAACCACTGTAATGGGGGGCTTGAGTGTGTGTGAGTGTGTACAATTTTTTTATAATTTGCTTTAAGTAGGAAAGTAGACCATCCTACTAAAAACAAACAACACATAATCAAAATTTCATCAAATGAACAGAAAATAAATTTAACCGTTTCAAAGTTTAGTTGATTTTTCCTTGTCATCTACAACTACTTTATCCAGGGTTTCCACGGGGTCTTAAAATGTATTAAAAGTTGATCAATCAATGTAGAGAAATTTAATATTAAAAAGTCTAAATGCTATTTTTATATCATTTTTGATTATGTAATGTATGGTTGTGTGCTAAAGTTTGCCTGAATTCAATCTGCGAATATCCGGATGCTTTGTAGTTTGTGAAGTCAATGAAATCCTACTAGATTTGTCGTCATGCTGCTTTGTTTACTGAAATAATCAATTTTTCTGCAGTTCTATTGGCGCCAACCTGCTGAATTAGCTAGATTTTTATTCAGTAAATGAATAATGTTTTACTTTTGGATAAGTTTCTTACATTAGTATTTAGTAAATATACTGTAAGTTAAAATCACCTAAAGTGGTTTTAAGGTCTTCAATTGTATGGAAAGAGTCTTTAAAAAGGTCTTAAAAGGTGTTCCTGTATATAGTCTGCTTATTAAATAAATATATGAAGAAATAACATTTATTGTGAAATGTTGATTAATAAGCGATTAAAAAACATGTTTTATTATTATTTTTTTTTACTGGCCAGAGTAAATAAAATGTGCCGGCTGCATTCTTATTTTATGCAGTGTGTTAATGTGAAAATATAACTTGCTGCTCACGGTGTTTGCCACTGGTGTTAAAATAACCACATCATCTGCCGCATGTATCGCTTCATATCTATTGCGGGGGAGAGAAGCAAATGGGTTTGAACGAAGCATTTTTGCCTCGATATACAAGTACTATAGACATTAAACAAAGCTTGTGGTGTGTACTGCTATGTGGTTTTGACATGCTGCTTACTGTAAACTGTGGAAACAGTAAAATGTTGCCTCAATGTCTCTCAAAGTACAGTTGGGATCGAGGAATTTATAACCAGACCACAATCCCCTACTTGAGGATGCCTGGTTGAAAATGTCAATATATGTTTTTAGTAATCTGCGTACTAGTCTTTTATTGTTTCTCTTTTTATTTGTAGGTTTTTTGGGCATGACGCTTTGGCCTGGTCTGCTCTTTGCGAGCTTGACTATTAACCTAACGTTCATTTGCATCTATGTCTACTATAATTGGAGATGAGGACATAGATCAGGCCACAGGAGTTCAAGCTCAAACTGCGATGTACACGGGCCCTTGTCGCCTGGTTGCTCAGTGAATTTGGGCCCTTAACAGGAAAAACATGGAGCATTTTCCTTTGGGTGATAACTACAACTTTCTACAACATTTTTGCTGCTCAACAATCGCTAAGGATTGTTTTCTGGCTCACGTAAATGGGAAGAGTGTTTTCTCTTGAACTTGAGTTCTTTTAAGTATCACTTGAGCTTTGAAAACATGTTTTTTGGTGCATGTTCAGTCATTTATTTGTGTTTTTAAACACTGGATATGTATTGGAGCGAATGATTGTGCTGTTTAAGCTTAACAGAACGATGTCTGTTGGGCATGTGAAGCATCTTTATGAAATATTAATTTGGCTTCTTTGCCATATTGCTGTACAAGCGTTTCTGTTTATCCTACTACTTCAAAGATAATGTCATGTCATTATCAGAATGATGCGATATTAAAAGGTGCAATATGTTTTGGGATTATGTAATTTTGACAACATTGTGACACTGAAATATTTGGTTTGGCAAATCATATTGTCCATTGAGCCTTTTTGACTCATTATTTTAAGGTAAACAGGATATTTTGTACATAAGATAAAGACATTTCAGTTTCCAGATTGAAATAAATCTTGTTACGTACTGGTTTGGTGTCTCTTTCAGTGAAGCATAAAAAAGTAAGATGGCATTTAAGAGTAAACACTCATTGAGATTTCTTGTTTCACATTCACTTTCAACATTGAGAAATTCTGAACATGTATTTGTAAAGTCGGTTGCTTGGTAAAAAGGTCAACAGTGAATGCTTTTCCTTGATCTTTTCCTTGATAAGTTAAAAAATTTGGTGTTGAATTTCCATATCATGCTGTGCTTAAAACATTAACACGTTCTTGCGTGCTGCTTTTTTTGAATTAATCTGTTATTAGAGAACAATGTCATAATTTACATTGTTAAGGTGTAAGAGAAATTACACAATGGAGATTGTAAAAAATATGAAAGGACTCTACAGTCCTGGACTTTATCTTTTTCCATCACTGGGTGAGTGTAGACAGTCTGTCTCCTGAGAGCATGATAATATCTTGATTCTCTCCGTATAGGATGTTACGCAGCTCACAGTCATTGGTTATTTGAGAGATGACTGGGTTGTTTATTTTCAGTAAAAAAAAGACATATTGTAAGGAATTTAATTACAAATCAATGGATTTTGCACTCATTGTTTAATAGAGGTTTGTCATTCAAAAGATAAGTACAGCAGATGGATATTAACGATTAACTTATTATCGTGGTGTAATTATGTTTACGTTAATGAAAGTAACTAATGATCTCTGCTTAGTGTTTCCTATGTATTTTGGCGATACATAAAGATAAAACCAGTAGAGTGAGAAATTCCCCCCTCAAAAAAAGAAACAGGCAAGTTTATGCTTGCACTTTGCTGTAACAATTTTTTTATGTTATCTTGAGACAAATTCAGGTTGAAGACAAATTGGTCAATTACTTATACTGTATTTCAAAAACTGTTGCCTCGCTACAATTTAAAGCCTTAAAACTTGATTTCATGTCAAACTGTTCTTTTCATTTATGTCCGGTATAAATATAAAAAGAGTCTTAAATCAAGTATTTGCTAAAAAAAAAAAAAAAAAACATGATATGAGGATATGAAGTCTTGAAATTAATGCAATTAAATGAGTTTACACTTAAAAACAAGCCAATGGGTTTTAAATGTTTAAGTTAAGGCTTCATTTAGGTTGATATTTGCAGCCCATTTGAAGTTATTTGCTCTTGTTTACATGATAATTTCACCTTTTTAAGGTCAAATTAAGCTTTATATTATTTTGCTTATTTAAATAGACCTTAAGTTGATTTATATATATCATTCATTCATTCATTTTCTTTTCGGCTTAGTCCCTTTATTAATCCGGGGTCACCACAGCAGAATAAACCGCCAATTTATCCAGCACGTTTGTATGCAGCAGATGCCCTTCCAGCTGCAACCCATTCCTGGAAAACATGTATGTGTGTAAATATATACACATATTGTTGTAATTGTTTAATTACTAATTCTGATTGACAAGAGCCTGTATACTGAAACTTTGAGGTACTGCGTGCTAATACACATTTATAGTGCTCAGCATATACAAGTACACAAATGTCTCTTTTGAATTCATTATTCATGTGTTTGATAGGAAGCTATACTTGTACACATACATTAGATTAGTCAGCACTAAGCCAAATTCTGGAGCTTATCTAACAAAATAACTTCCAGTAATCATCCAAAAATTAGTACATCCAAATGTATATGTTATAGAATTTTTTTTATTATTTAAAATAAGAGGAAAAATCAAGAGAAGCAAAAAATTGTTGAAATTTTGTAGGTTGTAATTTTTCCCCCTGTATTTTGCTTGAATTTAATTGTATTATCCTTCAATTTCTTTGATGACTTAAATGTTATTTTAATAAATATATCTGTTCAATAAATCTTTTTTTTTTGTTTAAATGCACCAAAATACATTGCCTGTTCACTAAGAAACGGATTAAAGCATTCATTTTCAAAATGGGTTGTACTTATTTATGCTGAGCACTGTACATTCAGCAAACACTTTTCCTTCTATTTATTCTTTTACTTTATTTGCCTTAAAAAGGTCTGCCTGACTATTTATCTCATAAACTATTAGGATCTCATGAAGAGTGAAATGAATCAGAAAAACTTGTTGCACTAATCTGCTGATTCAAAGAATATGTAGATAGCCTATATTTCATAACATCTGAGGATCATCTGTGCAGAAAGAAAAGTGTGACTTGTGTGTTTTTTTTAAAGAAATGATATTTTCACAAGTATGAATATCTGTTAAACTAATTTGTTTCTTGTTAAACGTAAACAACTTTTTAAAATTAATTTACTATTTATACGAGTACATGAAAAAAATGGTTTAGGTTTTATCTTGTTTTATTTATTATACTCAGTACGATTTTAACCTCCACATGTCATGAACAGAGATGCAATATAGCTAGACATATTTTCTATATGGTGAGAAAATCGATGCTACTTCGCTTCATCAAATGAGGTCTTAATTAGGTGTTGTTGTCTTTGAAGGCGCGCTTCACGTGTCTGATTGGTCGATCCAGTGTGGGAAACAGACCCGCAGACGAAGTTTACAAACTGATGGCCTTTGTTCTTCAGGCATGCGCAATAGCTATACGCGATCGTACAAAACGCATCCAAATAGCTAAAATAAGTTGAAATGTTTGTTCATATAATATTTTTATTTTTTAGATATACGAATTAAAAACGTCTGATACACCTTTTAAATTAGCTTACATCAAATAATGAAGAATAGACTGCACTATTTTCTTTAATATCTATATCTTCAGTTGCACAGATATTTACAACATGACTAATAAGAATGAAAAGAGAGAAATCTGTTTGTATTAGTAATCATCCCACACGTGTCGGTAACATCAAACCGATGTTTACTGTAACACTTTAGCTAGCAGTCATAATACGTCTGCGCCCCTCACGTCCTTCTTTCATGTGGGGTTTGCGAACTTTTGACCTGTATTTCAGGATAGCGACTGGTGGCTGGGCGGGTAGGTGGAGACTAAAGTAAACCTGAAGCACACCTGGACACTCTTAACTTTCCACCTGTACCGTGCGCCACAGAGGATCTTCGCGTTTCATTCATCCAGCTCGATGGATCTGTGCGCGGGCTCAGTGGACCTGCAGTGCCGTGATGCCGCTGTAGAGGACTGCTCGGAGACCGCAGGGTGCCCAGGAGCTGCTCCAGCACCAGAAAAACCTCCTTATTCGTACGTGGCTCTCATCGCTATGGCCATCAGAGAAAGCGAGGACAAGAAGCTGACTCTGAATGACATCTACAGCTACATCATATCCAAGTTCCCATACTACGAGAAGAACAAAAAGGGATGGCAGAACAGCATCAGACACAATCTGAGCCTGAACGAGTGTTTCGTGAAGATCCCGCGGGAGAGCGGAGGCGAGAGGAAGGGGAACTTTTGGACACTGGATCCGGCGTTTAATGACATGTTCGAAAAGGGCAATTATAGACGCAGGAGACGCGTCAAGAGACCTTACCGGCCTGCAGCATTACCATCTGGATATAATTTTGCCGACCCGTACTGTCTGCAGCAGGAACCTGTTTATTGGCAAAGCCCGTTCGTCAGCAGCGGCTCGTGGAGTCACCAGTCCGGCTCTCCCACGCACATCTCCAGCTACATGCTCGGCAACGCGCGCCCTCTGTCTCCGAACGACTTCGCCAATTCTCCGGTCAGCTATTATCACGGTCACCACCCTCATTTTCACCCGTCCTACAGACCGTACCACCGGCATCCAAACGCTCTAGTGCCTCTGAGCGGCATGACTCCGCCGGTGAGCCCGGGCGGAAGCTCCATCTCCACCTGCAGTTACGCGCCGCAGAACAGTCACCCTGAACTGGTGCACCATCAGTTTGACTAATGGCAAACCTCGGTGCTGACTGACTGACTGTCTTGGGTTATTTTTAAGTTGTTCATTAGAAAAGTTAAGCTTGTTCCAAGTCAAACTGACTGATTGAAATCCTGCATTCGCTCGCGTAATTTGTTTCACATGGTTTGTTGCGTTAGTTTGTTTGTAGATACTGTAATGAGTTTACAGCTTTGTGGACTTAATGTTTAATTATTGTTCACTTCACTAAGATACTTGGACGCTGTTTTTATATTAAATTGCAGCAAATGTTTTTGATACAGCATCAAGTGCTTATTTTTACCATGCTGATTTCAAATATTGAAGTACATTGTATAAAATGTTTATAACTGTTTTCTTTGCAGAAGTTGTTGCAGACGTTGTTCTCTCTCACACAGGTATATTTGCTTTAAATGTGTTTTGTATATTGAGTAGACATGCTGTCTATATTGCTGAGTTTGGAGATATTTTTATATGTAAATGTTCATGTTTGAATTTTTCTAAGATAAAATTCCAATAACTGCTCATACAAGTCTCATTATTTAAGAGTTTATTTATCATTTTTAGTCCCAATAAAATAAATGTTTACATTTTAATATGAAGTAAAAGTAATATAGATATTTAATTCTGTATGTATATACCTTAAATGTAAAATTTGATAAAAAATTATATATATATAGTCTAAATAGAAAGTATTTTTAATATACAAATTACATATGCACATTTGCAGATTAAGAGTATTTCATGCTTAACATGCTAGATATCCCAGCCGGCACACGACCGACCTTCAACGTTGAAATATGGTTGAAATAAGGTCAGATGTGTTTTGAACGTTGAAATAATGTTGATAGAACGTTTAATGTTGAACGGTTGAAAAACAGCCTGCATATGACAAGGCTTCAACGTTGAAATGTGGTTGAAAATACGTCAGTTGTTGCTTTAATGTTGAAACAATGTTGAATGATAAATGGTTGAAAAAAGTTACAGAAATCCTTGTACAAATCAACGTTGACATTTTTTTTATCATGGTCTGTATGTTGAATTAACGTCATGGCTTCACCCAATATTCAACATGTTTGGTTACCATGGTATCGGAGGACTCGGCGCACGCGGCCACGCGCAGCGCTTCACTTCACTTAATTACGAACACCTGACCTGCAGTGCAGCAGAATTCAGAGGTAAGCGTGTTTTTAGATGCTTTAATGTTTTATTTACCCCCCGATTTTGTTTTACACACAGTGTATCTTAAATGTGACTTGGTGTAGTGTTTCGAATTTTGAAGCATTTAAAACTTTCCAGTTTGGTTTAGTTTGCGCTCCGGTGACGCAGATAACCTCGAGGTAATGTCACATGTTTAACGTTAGTCTAAATGAGCGTTTTTATGGCAAATTCAAAGCGATAAACTCCAAACGCAGTTTAAAGTTACTGAGCAACGTTATAAAACAATATCATTTTTATACGCTGTATTATTAGTGTTATTATTACAAAGTGAACTGCTTTCGTTTCACTGTTGTTGTTGTTTTTGCTTTTAGACATGTAACTTAACGTACTCCAGAGACGCACTAACTTGCACAGCATTGAATGGAAAAGGCTTTGTCCATGTAAGTTTACTTTACCTTTAACTAAGCTAGCCTATCTGTTAAATCTTCTTGGTGCTTTGGTTGATGATATTCTCTTTCTAATCTGTTTGTTTATTGATTGTTAGGCTATGTTGTGATATTATATTGTTATATTGATATTATTATTGTGAAATCATGTTGTGATGTTACTATGTGACAGTATTGGGGAGCAAATATGTATTTAGTGAGAAATTAATGTTTAAATTACACTTTGTATAGTAGCAAATAAGAGGTGTAATGGGTTTTAACTTTCTGGAAGGTCCAGTTGAGGGGCATCAAGAACACGCAGATGGCCTAAACCTGTGTCAGCCTGGACAGACTGCGGTTCTGCTACTCCACGCCAAGGCTTTTGTATGGATGTCTGACTACTACAGTGTTCTCTAAAGGTATTACTGGAGCAAAACAACAGCACCCGTTACAGTGAAATTTGTATTCATAAAAATAGTGATACATGTGTAGCAGGTCCAGTACATGTGATGTCATTGAGAAGTTGTTTTTATTAAATGTCATTAAAACAAATAAATAAACATGCTATTTAAATAAATCTAAATATTAAAAACTTGAGGATTAAGAAGAAATTAAATGCATCATCTGTCTTGCGAAAAGGGTCTACTTAAGAATTCTGGTGTTTCCCAACTGAAAGGGATAGTTCACCCAAGAATGAAAATTTACTCACATTTTACTCCCCAAATGGTTTAAAACCCTTATGAGTTTATTTTGTTGAACACAAAAGAGGCTATTCTGAAAAAAAAAACTAAAAACCTGTAAACATTGACCTCCATAGTAGAAAAAAATACTATAGAATTCAATGGTTATAGATTTGCAGCTTTCTTCAAAATATCTTCTTTTGTGTTCAATGTGGTCAGTAAATGACGACAGAATACAAATTTTAAACTATCCCTTTAATTTTCTGTCCTACATGCAGACTTTTGCAGAAGTGCTACTCCTTCTAGAGTTTTTCTCAACCATGTGTCTAAAAAGCTTTAAACAGCTTTTACAGTACATGTAATGGTTCACAACAACTTGTAATTATTAGATGTGTTGAATGTTTCATGGTTCTTTACTGCAGCCCTTGTTTTAAAAAAAAAAAAAGAAATTTTTTCGAGAATCTGAAATTTGAATTCTGGAAATGCTGGCACCGGTGGTGGCGAAGGGCTTCCTGACGATATCACACCTAATTCTTCACTTCTCTTAGTTAGGAATATTCAGATGGATGAGTTAAAATTATTGAGTGTGGCGATTATTATAAGACAAATTTGGATTCAATAAAAAATAAATTTTTGAATTTTTACTTTGTATAATAGCAGATACCAACTTAGTTGTAACCTCATATTTCATTTATTGCAGGTTTTCTGGAAGCTCCATTTGAGGGCATCAAGGACATACTGATGGCCTAAACCAGTGTCAGCCTAGACAGACAGACATCTATTGCAGTTCTGCTACACAAGACCAAACTCTCTGCTTTTGTATGGATGTCTGACTAGTACGGTGTTCTCTAAAGGTATAACTGGAGCAAAACAACAGCATCCGTTACAGTGAAATTTGTGTTCATAAAAGATAGTGATATATGTGTAACAGGTCCAGTACATTTGTCATAAAGGTTAAATCACAGTAAGTACTGTAAAAATAACTTGTTTGCCTTTGCCACAACAGGTCATGGTGTGTGCATACTGCTCGTAGTAAACACACACGCTGATCTGATGCGGGAGAGATATATGCAAACATATTTGTATTTACTGTTTTGTTTTGCCTCACTAAAGTGTTGTTGGAGCTTGGTATGTTCACAGTTGAAATCACTGAAGTCACATGGAACGTTTGGACAATGTGTTTTGTGCCTTATCTGGACAATGACCATCTTGGGACCATTGCTGTCTGTAGAGGATGAGGAGCATTTAATCTAAAATATTTTAGTTTGTGTTCTGAAGATTAACAGGTCTCTGGGATGACACAAGTAATTAATAACAGAACCTACTGTATATGAACACTTAATGTGACATGTAATAGTGAAATAGTGGTCCTACATTCACAAATGTGAGCCATTATTATAAGACCCATGTGAACATGCAATTTTTATGATACTAATAATAATGGAATAACAAATTGCTATTACTGTTGTGTTTTTGAGAGAGAATCAAACCATATATTCTACACATTTTCTTTATGATTTACTGAAATATTTGTCTACATGTTCCACTGTCACAGGTGCTCAGTTTTGCTGCAGTAATGCTAAACACAATAGATGTACTTTATGCAAAAAAAAAAAAAAAAACTACTAAATATTTAGCATGCAGACCTGCAAAGTGAAGGAGTAATGTCAGGTTTAGATTATAGCATGAGTTTTCACTATTGTGAATGTGAAGCCATTCATTCACAATGAACTGGAATAGCAAACCTCATTATTGATTTTGTAGGAAACTCACCTGGTGTTTGAGAAATAAATATGTATTTAACTGCTAGACTGATATAGATGTTTTAGTGTTTTACACTTGATTCTTTGTCCTCAGTGCCATCTTTTACCTCAAGTGTTTCTCTCAACCTATAAAACCTCAAACAGATGTAATGTATTTCACTTGTGATTCTTAGTTGTGAGTGATGTTTTTTATTTTATTTTTTTACTGCAGCCACTTTAAAAATGGGTATTTTGTAAACTTTGTAAACGGAATTGTATTTTGGAGACTGTGATGGTTGAAGCATAGTTTAGTTACTTAGTTTAATTTAGTTAGCATCTGTCTTTCTGAAGACGGTAACACTTTACAAAAAGGTTGTATTAGTAAGTGTTAATGTATTTACTAACATGAACAAAGAGCAATGAAGCATCTTTCATATAAAGAAAGTACAGTTCATGTCAGCTCAGTGCATTAATGTTAACAAGCATACATTTTGATTTTAATAGCATCGGGACATATTTCAATTAATTAAATGATTAATAAATGCTGTACAAGTATTTGTTCTTTGTTCATGTTAGTAAACATTAACTAACTTTAATTCATGAAACCTAATTAAAAAGTGACTCTTTAATTGTATGCCTTTTTCTGTATTTGAGTGTACAGCATGTATAGTAACCTGCATGGTTTTGATGAACTGTATGCTGTAAATGTTGCTGTATATTTAGAATAAATGAAATAATGAGGTGTGTATTAAATAAATTGATACACAGGCTAAGTTGTGTATTTTTGTCGTGTATTTTTATTAGTAAAAATTTGTTTGCTATATTTATGGACTTTGCGTTGTATGTAATTTCTATTTAACTTGCGTTGAAATGTATGACGGTGAAACAACGTCACGGTATCAACGTTGATCCAATTTGCAAAATCGAAAGGTAATTCAACCTTCATTCAACGTCTACAAAACGACCACAATTCACCCATGAAGAAGGTAAGAGTGAAACAACGTTGTGATTTCAACGGTGAATCACCGG